AATTAAAAAATAAATAATTGAACGCGATAAAATCCGTAAATTAGTTTTATCCTATGTGTAGTATTAGCGTAAATATATGAAATCATTACAAATGAGATATGTTTTTAGTTTTACGTTAAAGTTATTTTTGTAATGATAAGCGACAATATTGTATAATGTTTGCCATCTTATTATATAAAAATCCCGTGTCAAAATGTTCGTTCACGCTAATCTCCGAACCGTTCATCCGATTTTAATGAGGCTTTGTATTGTTTGCTTCAACTTGTTAGATAGGGTAGTTTATTACAGCGATAAAGTGACCCTTAATTTTTTTAATGCGAATTTAAGGATATTTTATAAGAAGGGTCAACCTCTGCATCTGAATATTATAGTGCAGTTTGAACTGAGCTTTACAGCTTTACACGCAGTGTTTGTTTGTATGATCTATAAACACACGCTTTAAATGTGTGTTGCCATCTTATAATTTTTACACAATGATTTTCTGAGAGGCAATGACGTAATTGGATTCGCTGGGTTGTTGTATTGTTTAGCAGACGCGGCGTTCATTTGTACAGCTTCCTCTAAGTTAATGACGCATTATCTTATATGATGTTTATGCACGTCTTTAGTTATTGTATAAAAAATCTACCCAAAGAGCTCAATGGAGTCATATGATCCTCTTCATAAATGAGCTTTTGATTTTGAGGCATATCAGCTGTCTGTCATAATAAGAGACAAAGAAAGGCGTCAGTATCAAAACAACCCCCCCCCCTCACCTCACACTACTCCCAAAGCAGGGTCAAAAGCACTTACGAAAATAACTTTGCAAGGCTCGACGCGACGCTTTGTTTTTACCGCGCGACGTACGAATAACGAGCAATGACGTAGGCAGTGCAGGGTTGCTAGTTGTTGGGTGCGTCGGGGTACTTTAAGGATAAGAGGGTGAAAATACGGACGAGTTTAATGAGACGGATATATGGTTTTCAGCCGGTTAAAGCAGCGAAGTGCATGACGTGGAAAAACTTACGTCAGGAAAACGCGCTTGTACAGTCTATTATAGACTTCTTTCTTTAATAAACCTTTAAGGCATTGAAGTAATTCATACTATGTACTTAGGGTTGTCAGATGGTCAAGATTCGTCTGGATTCTCCCGACATTTTAAACGATATCCAGACTCCCGACAAAACTCAAAATCTCCAGACAAACAGTTTCTCGGAAAGTTAACGTATTGCCTGTAATTTAATAAAAGCTGAGTCATTAGACTCATGGACTCGGTAAAGTACAATGCCAAATACTTATGTCAACCTAAAAATTAAGTGTACTTATATTAGTTTCGTTTTAAAGCACTTTTTGTAGCTTCTTAATTTAAAAAAAACTTTATTTTTAAGCTATTGCATAGCTTTTAAGCTATTGCATAGCTTCTATCGCGGGCCTTGAGCGCGGGGACCGAATCCAGAAATTCCGTAACGAAAAAACCTCACGCTCCCCACTCCGACGGGCACGGAGGTGTGGCGTTGAAAGCCGTGCATCGTCTAACGTCGTTTCAGTTCGGCAGATTTCGGCACTCGGCAGACTTCGGCACGGTGTTTGTATGCATAATAAATAAATATGTAGCAAGCTATTTGTATGCCTGCGACTAGACGTATGCGTAAAAGTACACTAGCTGCTAACTCAATGATAAAAATTCCTGAATAACCTACATGTATTGTAAGATATTAAAAATATTTTAAATAATATTAACTTCTCATTTATTCAATAAGAGAAAAAAAATTGTTTTCTTATATTCACCACGCTCAAAAAGTGTAACTTGATTTAATATCAAAGACTTAACTGCATAAATAAAATAAATAAATAATTATAATTGCATAAGTTGATAAAAAATGCTATGCAATAGCTTTACCGCGGCAGTCACCGAGTGCCACACGTATTTTTTTAATATTTATTTCTCCCGAAAAACAACCCCAAAACCCGATATTTCCTCAAAATTTATCCGGATATTTTGGTCTTCCGATTTGGCAAATCCATATGTACTAGAAGAGACGCTGATACTATGTTATTAGCAACATGCATTAGAGCCCTCGAGCTTAAACTTAGTCCGTTCAAATGAAACTAGTTTTATACAGATTTTATCGCGTATATTGAATTATTTTATAATTCCGACGTTTCTATTACGTCACAGCATCCATTGTCACAAGGGGAACTGAAGTGTTCGACGTCCAAATTTCATAGTTAACCACGGCTACCTTTAGGGACGTTGAAACTTAAATAAATTACTATATTTTAAACATATAACAAATATACAATCACACAAACCTAAGGAAAAAAGAGATAATATATTAAATAGATAGTTAAATAATTTTTTTTATAGAATAAGGGTAGCAAACGGGCTAACAGTCCCCTTGATGGTAGGTGGATACCGTTGTCACCCCTGAGGCCTAAACTGCAAATGCCTCCTATCCAGTAAAAAGGGTCTCCGGTTCTCTACAATCACCATACGAAGTACACCATTAAGCTGCTATTTTACGCTGGTAAAATTACGTCTTACGTTTACGTCTGTGAGAGCGTGGTCCTACCCCATTCCTACAACCATGATATAACTGCAGTATATCTCTCCGCATATATATATATATATATATATATATATATATATATAGTACCCGGTTGACCGAGCTTTGCTCGGTATTTTTCGCTCGGTTTTTTTTTAATTCGTGTGTTTTGGAAATTATATTTAGATACAAATTACATACTGATGAAATACGAATAATATTTTTTGATCTTAGCGACGTAATAGAAAAAAAAACTGAACTGGTTTTTTGAATAAAAAATCATGAGTGGAATTAGTTGAATTTAAATTTTCGTGTTTTTAAAAAATAATAAAAAAGGGCTCGAAAAAATAGATTTTAAAAATTAAAAAAGTTTAAAAAAGTCGGTCGGTCGGTCTGGGCTCGAACCATGGTATTACGATTTTATCACCGCCCAATATACCAATTAAGCTATTTTTAATCATTAATAAGCTGTTAAAATTTACCTTCTTATTCTAACGATATTGTAGCAGTTTTTCATTGCCTAAAAACACGGACAAAAAAGACATTTTCTAAAAATATATCCTAGCTAGATCGATTTATTGCCCCCGAAACTCCCTGCACACAAAATTTTATGAAAATCGTTGGAGCCGTTTCCGAGATTCCGATCATATATAATATATATATATATATATATATATATATATATATATGGTTCCTTTCAGAACACTACACCATAATTTTAACTTTGGATAGGGCCAGTTTGCTATAGCAACTTGTAAAGATTTAAAAAAAAAAGTACGACGACGTAGACGTATGTAGCAATGGTTCGGTGTTTTTAAACATTCGCAAGACTATTTTAGAATGAGTAGGTGGCTGGGAAAGTGGAAACGTATCGGAATAATATATCACGAAGGTTAAAGTAATATCCGAGACGTCAGCGGTTTTGATTTTGTAATTATTTCTTATATCATTCTAATAGGCCCTTGCGTGACTATAGGTGTGTAGAGCACTCGAAACGTCGGGAATAAAAAAATAATAATTTTAAGGATTTTGGCGCGTTTAATTTTGTTTCATTCAAAGGTTTTGACTTTTATTCCTAGTGGTTTTTCTAATATAATTGTCAATTTTTATATAATTCTATTATGAATCTTTTTTATAGTATTGTCACAAACGAGCACACAGTCCACCTGATAGTAAGTGGATGCTGTGGCTCATAGACATCCACATTTATCCTCGATTAAGAATGAAAATGCAAATGCGTTGTCACCTCTGAAGACTAAGATGGAATGCCTTGATTCCAGTAAAAACGGTCTCCGGTTCTCTACACTCACCATACGAAGCACAGCAGCTTAAAATTAATAAGTATTAGATAAATTAATTATTATTATCAGACATGAACTTACGGTAGAACCATACCGTGTAGTAGCGGTGTAAGAATGTACGCTACCCCATATCCTCCCCTGGGTGTCGTAAGAGGCGACGGCGTAAGCAGTGCTTTTGTACGTATTATAATGTTCTTTTCACCATTTTCCTATCAAAATCAAAGTATGTGTATACATAAGCTATTAAATAAAATAAATAAATTGTTATAATGCCACCTATCGAAATTCATAACATCCTTTCCTCTATTTAGGCACCCATGGGATGAATCGATGAATAGAATCCATCAGGAGTCTCCTGCGCCACCTTTGACACGGCAGTTTATAATTAAATTTCCCCAAGTGCCAACCCTAAGCCTCGACTTTTATAGACGTTTATCAGTAGCTTTAACTAAGAACGTCATTGATATACAAAAAAAAAGGACGTACGATAAGATGGTGTGATCTATTGTTTATCTCGCGGGCGCTACATTAAAAATGTCGCCATTGTTTTTCGAACAAAACACCGATCAGAAGCGTTGCTAACTCACCGTCATGCCTTTGTTTTAAAGAGCTATTTCAGCTTGTAAACAAGAGAACACGTTTGCAACAATGAAATTAATGAGTCGTCTAAAATAAATGTCATGGTTTGATGACACTTTCTCTTCAGTGTAAGTGTTACATAATGTCCTCCTCATTACGTGTAGTGATCGTGTAAGAATATCCACTGCCCCATATCGTTCCGTGGGTGTCGTAAGAGGCGACAGAGGGTAAGGTGGTGGAGCACACAGTCCACCTGATGGTAAGTGGATGCTGTGGCCTATACACATCTACATCTGTCCTTCATTGCGAATCAAAATGCAGATTGCATGCGGACAGATGCGTAGTCACCCCTGAGGACTAAGTTGGAATACTTCGTTTCCAGTAAAATGGTTCTCCGGTTCTCTACACTCACCATACGAAACACAGCAGAATTAAGCTGCTATTTGACGCAGGTATTCTGTGAGAGCGTGGTCCTTCCCCGGTCGAGCCGACCCATTCTTAATTTATTAATATAGCTACAGCATGGCTCAATCACGTAAAAACTTGTCTATTTTGACCACAATGCATATGTTATAGTGTGTATAACTTGTTTCAGATGCCCCGTAGCCGGGACGAAATGCAAGTAAACGTGGCGGGCTTAAGGAGGAATATTAAAAATCTTGCGCACAACTATTCTGATGCCCAGGTGACCATTTTTCTAACATAGAATATATTTATTTTTTGTACACAGGCGAACTAACTGCCATGACGACATTCTCTGCCCACTTTAGAGTGGATTTAGTTATAGGTAAAGCAGCGATAAAAGATATATATATATATATATATATATATATATATATATATATATATAAGTGACATTTGGAGATCGTGGCTCTGGACCAGCCTTTTAGCTCGAATAACCGATAACGGTTAGGGAACAAAGGCTCTTGAGTGGCAGCCTTGCACTCAAAAACGTCCAGCCCTTCACGAGATGGAGTGACGACCTGGTACATCATGCAGACGTCGACGGATGCAGGTGGCTTAGGACCGTGTTTTGTCATTTGTGGTATTCCTTGGTCTTTGTTCAGTACTGGACTTGATGATTATACTATGGAATAATACATAAATAAATTACATTATTACTTTAACGAAATGTGACAAACTATATTTTTGTTAGATCGTGGTGAAATGTTGGTAGCCATGGCATCGATCTGGCATATTCCACAGTCGCGACAATCAAGGGACTAATGTACTAAAATTTACAATGGAAATTATTGTAATTAAATCCTATATTGGCGGCTCGGTAGTGCTGCTTCGAATGGAACCGGACGGAACAACTATTTTTATGACCATAATAATTTCTTCCGGGTCTGGATGTTTGCTCTCGTCTATTTATGAATATTAAACGCCTCCACGATAGAGAAAACGAAATGAACGTATCTGAAAGCTGTATTGCTTAGGGAATAAACGGGCTGTCTTTAAAATTTGTTGTATCCAAGCAACCGACTTCGATCTACCATCAGAAACACCGTCAATGAAATTGTTACTTGTTATTGTAATATTGCGTGCTGATTAATAATTTCACCCCCGTGCCTCTGAAGGCACGTAAAGCTGTCGGATTGCCGTCCCATCAGACTACGAATGTGAGGGAATAGAGAAAGCTGCAGTTATATTAGTAGATATGTAGTTGTAGCATGAATGGGTCGGCTCGACCGGGGAAGGACCGCGCTCTCACAGAATATCAGCGTAAAATAGTAGCTTAATGCTGCAATGTTTCGTATGGTGAGTCTAAATAACCGGTGACTTTTTCTGGAAACGGGGCATTCCATCTTAGTCCTCACGGGTGACAACACATCTGCATTTTGATTCGTAATCGAGGATAGATGTCAGACATCAGGTGGACTGTGTGCTCGTTTGTCACCCTATCCTATAAAAAAAACACCTTTGCTTACGTGCACTATAAACATATGCTGCTCAGATGACTAGACTGCGATGAGATTGGTCGCCGTTGATGGAATTCGGTCTTCAAGACATTTTTATTATTATTGCTGAGTTGATTAATACCTGCTCGGTGATGAAAGTAATGAAACCTAAATATTTGAGGAATAATAAATATTCTAAAGACATGTGAAGTCGCGCGAGCGAAGAAGCGAAGCGCGGTGGACTTTATCTTGCCCGTAAAACTATCCTAGAAATTAGAATTGATAGATATAATTGCATAGTGTGTAGGTTGTTCTTAACTTTGCCTTTTTTAAATATATATAATGTATGACCTTTGTTATATAAATGAAGGTTAATAGGAAAAACTCTGGTTTTGTTAAACAGTGGCTACTTGATCGTTTTTCCTATTGTCGACCTTAAGCTCTTACGCGGAAGTGGAATATTGTAACAACATTAATTTAACTCTATGCACAATCTACTAGTAAACGTCACCTCAAACATGGTTTGCCTTCTTTGGTTAGTCCTTCTATGTATTTTCTATTTCGAGTCTCCAATTTTTGCTTGATGATTCAAATAGAACCTACCTAGTTCGTTATGTTTATCGTCTTGGACTTTACCATAGAATACGATAAGTATAATCGTATTCTATGGACTCTACAGTGCTAGTACTTATAGCTAGCTGCCTCTGTGTTACAATTTCTTTATTCAATTAGCACAAACGAGCATACAGTTTCCTAACATTGTGTGCTCGTTTGTGATATACGAGGCATTTCATCTTCTACCTCACGAGTGAAAATGCAACTGCAATTTGTTTCTAATCGAGGATAGATATAAATATCTATGGGCCTTCACAACCACTTACCATCAGGTGGATTGTGTGCTCGTTTGTCACCCTATTCTATAAAAAATAAGTTCATTCTGTTGTTCATAGACACACACATCTTCGATTAAGATGATGAGACAAAATATCTTCATACCAGTAAATATATTCTATGGTTTTCGTTCATAGAATACAATAATATAATAGAACGGGGGAGTGGGCGGAGCCCGTGTAGCCAGTAACATGTCAATTCACACCTATAAGTGTCATCACAATCAAGCGTTTCCAATTTTCGTGTCAAGCGTCGTTGCATGCAAATTATTTAAAAAATGGCAAATTGTGCAATAATTACGTGTCGAAAGAATTTAAATAAAGAAGGAATTTAAATAAAGGAGACATATCCTACAACCAGTAAGTCGAAACTATTTATATTTTGTGAATATTAGAAACAAAAATAAAGAAATATTTGTGTCAAATCAGTTTGTCAACGCAGCGAATCGGGTTCGTAGTAATGATAACTGATAGTACGATGTAATTGCTTGTAGGTGTGCTCCCGGCGACGCCGACCCTGGTACAATATAAGGTTGACAGGTATTCTATTGTTTGTTATAGTATTCTATGGTTTTCGTTACTCTTTTACGATATATTTTGATGAAATTTTCAGTGGTTTTATGCGTAGTGTTTGCCTAGTGTTTTGCTAATATTTTACGCTGGTTTTATGTATGGTCTTTCCTAGGTGTAGCCAACCCATTCGAGTTTTAGCATCATCCATTCCATTAGAGCCTATAAAAGACCACTGCTGAACATAGGCCTCCTCATAGGGGGGATTTCGCCATAGTTGCCACGCTTTGCAAGCGGGTTGGCAACCGCAAGTTTTTTATTATTTTGAGTTGTTATCAGGAAGATGCTGCTGCCTATGACCTGCTTCAATTTCCCTCTGTCCATTTTACGACATCCACAGAACGATACGGAATATATAACGATAGAGTATTTACTTTAGTACACAATACACTAGAGTATTTTTTTCATCACGTCGGGTAGTCACCAAATTGACCGTCCATAAAAATAGGAGATCTCCTTCTGAGCAAGGTGTTTAGCCTGAGGAGTGGTTAGTACTCTCTGTGGTAGTGCAGAAACTTCAATAACGTGATTTAGACTTTTTTGTGGATTCGTTGTTATTCGTTTACAATATTGTGGCGCGATGACAGCGGTGCCACAAGTACTTCTTAGCCAGACTAACGGGCATTGATTCTAGATAAAACATCGTACTTAATCCCGTTGCGGCTTAAATTCCTTACGATTATACGGTTATACTTAAAAGGCAATGAACGTTGTATCCCGTGTACATTCAATGCGTTCCGCGTAAAGGTACGTATTCACCGATGCGAGTAAAGGGTCGTTTAATGTTTTTCAATCATTTATTTATTATTTATTGATCTTAGGATGGCTTATAGACTAATATCATCGTAAAGTTACAAAATGGTAATGATAATTGCTAATCACAAGCCTCCACGTATTACATACGACCTAATTTTGAAATACTATTGAGTATTACCCGATTGGATGTCACAAGAGGAAGTGAAATGTTTGACGTTCTAATATAACAGATAATAGTTAACAATATTATATTTCATTGGGTAATTTAAATATTTATTTTTTGTTCGATTCATACAGAACGAGGGTACATTATCTTGAAGTCTTACGCTTGGGTTTGGATTTCGTCTTTTAACTATGGGATCCCAAGCAGATGGTACCACTCAGCCATCTTCCTCTATTGAAATTACGATTTTTTAAGTTTCAATAGCCTCGTGAATCATCTTCGGTTGGATTCGCTATGCCTATTAGTAATCTATCAAATCTGATGTAATTAATGGTTGGGACGATCGAGGACATGTTCATAGACTACAAAGCTTTCCGGAGCATTAAAGTTTTAGCGTTAGCTATATATTCCTTTGCTCGGGTTTTTATCGATTTATAGAATTTGTCATCATTCGCGTTCATTCTCGTTTGTCTGTTTAGTGTGTGTACACCCTAATGCTGTCAGTTGTGTTACTATTTCCTTATCACTCGCTTCCGCGGTGACGCCTCCGTCGCGTCATAATTTGTTACGGTATACATATTTGGACCCTCGGTGCGATTGTGTAACTTTGGTGGGAATTATGCTTGACTTTGTTGTGACGTTTAGTTTCGTTGTATTGCGTAACTGTATCAGTATGGATTAAAAGCGGATGTCTTTTATATATGAGATTAATAATGGAATTCAAGACAATTTCGAATAAAAGTAGAAGCTTTATTTGCTCGAATTTTAATAAACTGCAAAACGGTTTAGGTATATTAAATTTAGAATTAGATACACTTGGAAAATTTACTCTGTTTATTAATGTAACAAAATGATATCAAATTAACCAATGAATTGCAAGTCTTAAATATATTTATCTTTATTAAAAAAAGTATTTTCATCGTAATAATATGCGTACCAAACTTTGAATTTTATGACGTAAATTTAAAATAAGTACAAAATATACGACTTAGGGGCCTGCAAAAAAGGAGCTTATTCCTTTTTAAAAGACCAGTAACTAACCTTCAATTCCCTTGGTGTTGCATTTGTGTCGTCAGCATGAATGGATTAGCCCGATCGAGTAAGAAACACGCACAACTGATTGACAAGAGCTGGTAATCCTTTTTTGTCGTAACTAAGATTTGAATTTGATGAAAGATTTAGATATGTATGGGTTTACAATAGTTGCACTAATTACGATTAGTGCAACTACTGTGACCTGTGACAACTATACGTAGTTGCGGTGTAAAGCCGGCAATACACGTTGACCAAGCCTCAGCCAACACAAGCGTAGGCAAATTGATACAAGGCGAGTGCTACAATCTACATGTTGGTAAAGTTTGTACGAGTGAACATACTGAATGGCCAACTAACATGTGTACACAAATTGCCGAGTGCAGGCGAGTGCCTTTGATTTGTGCAGAAATACCGACACTGTTCTGAAGTAAGACGAGTCATGGCGAACGATCCCGAGTGGTGGCAAAGCACGGTGGCGCTCACCTGCATTCGCCAGCTAGGCGAGCGACGACGAGCGATGGCGCGGCTAGACACATGGACTGTCTATACGTTGCTACTCGCCTTCGCTCGGCCAACATGTATAGCTGGCATAAGAGTATCCACTACGCCATATAGTCGCGTTGGTGTGGTAAGAGGCGACGGAGGGAACTGAACAGGAGACGTGCATGGATAGCATCTTACCAACCTGCCTGCCAGACGTGTAAACTACCTTTGTTCAGCAGTAGACTTTTATAGACTGTAGTGGATGAAAGTGTTTGCACTTAACATCAGGTGGACTGTGTGCTCGTTTGTCGGCCATGTTGCATCATCAGAAAACATAGACTGTAGTGGATGAAAGTGTTTGCACTTAACATCAGGTGGACTGTGTGCTCGTTTGTCGGCCATGTTGCATCATCAAAAATCATAGACTGTAGTAGATGAAAGTGTTTGCACTTAACATCAGGGGGACTGTGTGCTCGTTTGTTGGCCATGTTGTATCATCAGAAAACATAGACTGTAGTGGATGAAAGTGTTTGCACTTAACATCAGGTGGACTGTATGCTCGTTTGTCGGCCATGTTGTATCATCAGAAAACATAGACTAGTGGATGAAAGTGTTTGCACTTAACATCGGGTGGACTGTGTGCTCGTTTGTCGGCCATGTTGCATCATCAGAAAACATAGACTGTAGTGGATGAAAGTGTTTGCACTTAACATCAGGTGGACTGTGTGCTCGTTTGTCGGCCATGTTGCATCATCAGAAAACATAGACTGTAGTGGATGAAAGTGTTTGCACTTAACATCAGGTGGACTGTATGCTCGTTTGTCGGCCATGTTGTATCATCAGAAAACATAGACTGTAGTGGATGAAAGTGTTTGCACTTAACATCAGGTGGACTGTGTGCTCGTTTGTCGGCCATGTTGCATCATCAGAAAACATAGACTGTAGTGGATGAAAGTGTTTGCACTTAACATCAGGTGGACTGTGTGCTCGTTTGTCGGCCATGTTGCATCATCAGAAAACATAGACTGTAGTGGATGAAAGTGTTTGCACTTAACATCAGGTGGACTGTGTGCTCGTTTGTCGGCCATGTTGCATCATCAGAAAACATAGACTGTAGTGGATGAAAGTGTTTGCACTTAACATCAGGTGGACTGTGTGCTCGTTTGTCGGCCATGTTGCAGCATCAGAAATCATAGACTGTAGTGGATGAAAGTGTTTGCACTTAACGTCAGGTGGACTGTGTGCTCGTTTGTCGGCCATGTTGTATCATCAGAAAACATAGACTGTAGTGGATGAAAGTGTTTGCACTTAACATCAGGTGGACTGTATGCTCGTTTGTCGGCCATGTTGTATCATCAGAAAACATAGACTGTAGTGGATGAAAGTGTTTGCACTTAACATCAGGTGGACTGTGTGCTCGTTTGTCGGCCATGTTGCATCATCAGAAGTCATAGACTGTAGTGGATGAAAGTGTTTGCACTTAACATCAGGTGGACTGTGTGCTCGTTATTCGGCCATGTTGCATCATCAGAAAACATAGACTGTAGTGGATGAAAGTGTTTGCACTTAACATCAGGTGGACTGTGTGCTCGTTTGTCGGCCATGTTGCATCATCAGAAAACATAGACTGTAGTGGATGAAAGTGTTTGCACTTAACATCAGGTGGACTGTGTGCTCGTTTGTCGGCCATGTTGTATCATTAGGAAACATTTCTTGTTCCAGGTTAAAGTGCGCGAAGCAACCTCGAACGACCCATGGGGGCCCTCCAGCACCCTCATGGCGGAGATCGCCGATCTCACGTACAACGTGATGGCGTTCACGGAGATCATGCAGATGATCTGGAAGCGGTTGAACGACCATGGCAAGAACTGGCGTCACGTGTACAAGGCGCTAGTGCTCATGGAGTACCTCATCAAGACCGGGAGTGAGAAGGTCGCCATGCAATGCAAAGAGAACATATTTGCCATCCACACGCTGAAGGATTTTCAGTATATGGAGGAAGGGAAGGATCAGGGTGAGTAGAGAATATTTTTCTTTGTTTACTGAGATAAAGGTATAATTCATAGTTCAGCAATCATAGTGTTATCAACAAAGAGGTTTTAGTATATTAATTTCTTTTATAATTTCGTTTGTTTATTCAAAAATATTTATTGCCAATCTATTCAAGAGTACAATTTATACATTTTTTATATTTTATGCAGTATTTACGCATCTTATCCTAAAACAGAGGCTTCATCTCATATTCACTGTATAATTATCCATAAATGTTGTTTTAACAATATCAATATTTGGGGTATTTATATGGTTTTCTCATTTTTATATTTCATAGGGTTAGAGATTATTATTATGTTTGGAGTTGAGTTTCTTTCGCAGTTTCTTCTTCAGTCCGAGGAACCCCATTTCGAAAAAGTAGTAGATTTAATTTGCGTGGAGAGGTTTAGATATACTATAGTAAAAAGACTTCCATCTCTTCCATATAATACCAATTATTTGTATGAACTTTTGTTGAAAATTATAAGGTATAAATTTAAATCGTTCAATGAATGAGCGCACAGTAGGTATCCATAAAAGTAGTGTTATATGAGCTTGATAATGAAAGATCAAATAATTATACATTTATAGAATATGTAAAATGTGAAAAAAACGTTTTACATATTCTATAAAAAAATTTAAAATGTGTGCTGTGCTCTACAGCTAAGCCTTTATTACGTTTAAGCAATAAACATACCTCTAATATTTCAAAATGGCTTGAAGTATAATTATTAGTGAAACTGCGAGGTCAAACTACGAAACTCGGTTTTTCAATTGCATATTAACCATTTGACTCAATCTGATCAAGAAGTTAAGTTGGTGAACAAAATATTTAAATTCTAAATCTTCTCTTATTGTTGCGAAATCATTGCTTGAACGAAATGTAAAGGCTTTCTTTTCAAAACTTTTAAATTACCAACATTAAATATTGCCGAAAGATATCCTCAAATATTTTTTATAACTATTGATGGTAAAAATATAGCAGACCGTGTACCGCGAAACACAGCTTATCTAGCCCAGTACAAGTGACTTATAATTTTTAACGTGTCTGGTGTTTCCTGATTTAACGAAAAAGTAAATTTATACCTTTATTAAATGTGATATTACATTAGACCCCGTCAAGTTTAGATACCAACCTATTACCAACATTAAGTAATGATATATATATATATATACATACATACATAAACACTCACGCCTGTCACCCAGAGTGGTAGGCAGAGACTACAGACTTCCATTTAGCACGATCCTGACATACCTTTCTCGCCTCTTCCACATCCATATACCTACGCATACATGCTCGTCGGTTAAGGGTACTCTTAATTTGGCCCATTTTTAGTATATCGCCAATTTGGTCGACAAACTTCCGCCTAGGACGTCCCTTTCCGACTCTTCCATTCACTTCTGCAACATATATTTGCTTTGTCAGTCTTTCCGCATTCATTCTTTCTACGTGACCAAACCACCGAAGCATTCCTTTCTTAATCCTGGTCACCGCATCATCTTGCAAACCACACTCTTCTTTTATCACACAGTTTCTCACCCTGTCACTCAGATTCAGCCCTAACATACTCCTTAGCGACCGCATTTCTACTGCATTTATTCTACTCTCGTGCTTCTTCTGCCACACCCAACTTTCACTACCATACGTTAAAGTAGGGACTAATACAGCACTGTGAATTGCCATACGTGCCTTTTTTGACACATTCTGACTTTTCACAATAGAGTGTAGAGCCCCATTTACTTTATTTCCTGCATTCACTCGTCGTTCAATATCCTTATCATATCTCCCATCCCTGCTGAATACACATCCCAAATATACGAACTCATCCACTTGCTCAATTAACTCTCCTTCTATTCTTATTTCACATACCGTTTTGCTTTCATCTCTTTCAAAAACCATCACTTTCGTCTTACTTGCGTTCACTTTCATTCCTCTTTCTTTTAATGACCTGTTCATTAATGTAACCATCATTTGCAACTCGGCCGCCGACGACGCAAGTATGACTTGATCATCGGCGTACAAAAGGCATTTGATGGTTAACTCACCCATTCTTAACCCGCATTCTTCAACTTTCAAATTTTCCAAACAGCTGTCCATAAATAGGTTGAACAGCCACGGGGAAGCTACACAGCCCTGTCTGACACCTTTATGGATGCCAAACCAGTCCGAGTAGACCCCGTTGATTCTAACACAAGCACTCGAGTCCCTATACAGAGACTTTAATGCCTGTATCAAACCAGCGCTCAACCTAAATGCGTTCAGCGTTTGCCATAACACATTCCTGTCCACTCTGTCATAAGCCTTTTCCAAGTCCATGAACGCACAAAAAACTTTTTGGTTTTTCGCCAAAAACTTCTCCGCGATCATGCGCATGGAAAAGACTTGATCTGTACACCCCATTCCCTTTCTAAATCCCGCTTGCACATCCCAAATTTTTCCATCAGTTTCTTTCATGACCCTTTCAATCAGTACCTTAGCATACAGTTTTCCCACAATGCTAAGAAGGCTGATACCACGGTAGTTTTTACAGTCCTGCTGTGACCCTTTTCCCTTATATATTGGGACTATCACGGCTTTGCACCAGTCTCCCGGTACCCGCTTTAGTTCCCAACATAAATTAAACAAGGTGTACAGCAGGCCTGCCACCACGTCCTCTCCAGCCCTTAGCATTTCGGGTGAAACTCTATCATATCCGGCTGCCTTACCTACTTTCATGCTTTTCATTGCTTTCATTATTTCATCTATACTTATCTCCCTATCTCTTTCATCTTCTTTCGGAATTTCTATTTCATTTAGTTCACACTTCTCCTCACACATAAATTCGCTTTCAAAATATTCCTTTCATCTCTTTAGACTCAACACTTCATCATTCAGGATACAGCCATTCACGTCTCGTATCGCATTCAATCTAGGCTGTTTTGAAAGTCCCCTGGTATTTCTTACGAGTTTCCAGAACATTTTAATATTTGCCTGGAAGTTATCCGATATTCTTCTATCATTCCTATCCGTTCTTTCTTGCTTTTTCCTTTCAACTAATTCTTTTACTCTCTTATTTAAACGTTTAAACTCTGCCTTTTTTCTTTCATTCTCATCATTCTTACCGCCAGAATTACCAGCTTTGGTCGCTAGTAAATCTAGCCATGCTCTCTTCTTTGCTTCAACTTCCATACGTACCTCATCATCCCCATATTGCCTATATACCATAACGTATTGTCTTTCCTTTCATTCGTTCTCTTACTAACACCACATACTTCGGTAGCTGCATCCACTAAACCTTTCTTAACATTATGCCACACATTCTCCAAGTCTAACTCATTCACACACAACTCATCCAAATTACTTATATTTTCTCTCAGTCTGCATTTGTACCTGTCTTTCACATCTTCATCTTGTAACCTCTCAATTCTTATACGCTGTAACGCAGTGGTAGACACAGATATCCTATGCCGCCAACGTCTGAATAAACCCCTAATTCGGCATAAGACCAGGTAGTGGTCCGTCCCTACGTTGGACCCCCGGTAAACCCTTGTATCCACCACTGCGCTCCTCATTCTTTCATCCACAATTATGAAATCTATCATGCTTCTATCATCACCTCTTTCCCAAGTATACATGTGAATCTTCTTATGACGAAAGAAAGTGTTCGTCACAAAAAGATTCCTTTCCACACATATGGTGAGGAGGCTTTCACCATTCTCATTTATACTTTCATCACCAAACGTTCCCAATATCCTTTCATAACCAAGCCTCCTCACCCCAACCCTTCCATTAAAATCTCCTAGCATAATAATATTTTCATTTCCCTTACACTTCATTAACACCATCCTTACCATTTCCCAAAACTGCTCCCGGATATAAATGGGCTTAGACATGTCTGGGGCGTAGACCCCTAACACAAACAACTTCTTTAAGCCCACTTTCATTCGTATCCATAGCAGTCTTGGGCTTACACATTCATACTCTTTCACACATTGGCCCATTCTTTCTGAAAGGATGATACCTACTCCCTGGCATGCCCGCTCGATCTCGTCTACACCAGACCAGTATGCGGTATACATGCCATGTGCAGTGACATCCTTCCCCTTCCTTTTCGTCTCATTTACACATAATACATCTATTCCTCTATCATACATCATATCGCATACTTCATCCATTTTATCATTCATTGCCCCACATACATTCAACGTAGCCAGACGGGCCTCTGCAATCCACTTTTCGCCTCTCTGGGAGACAGAACGTGACGGGTGGCGAACCTCGTCGCCGGTTTTCCTCCCGGAGATTCTTCGCACCCCTGCCCCATTAAAGGGGCGCCGGGAACTCGGGGCCATTTCTTTTACTTTTTGCCTCATGGTGCGAAAAGTAAGGCGTGGCATATTTTACGCCGCTACCACACAGCCGAGTCTGTTCTTTCGGCTTTGTCGCTCTTTTAGCACCACCCGGGGGAAACGTGTAGGGTGTGCCTAGGATTAGGTGGTCGAAGCCTACGGACGCGAGCGACTTTCCCCCCCGATATATATATATATATATATATAATAAAAATTTTAAGTTCCAACTAGTTAAGACTCATAATCAAATCTTTATTATAATGGATTAACCCCTGATTCTATTAATTATAGTAAGTTTACTATTAATGCAACGATTTACAGAAGTTTTGTGTGATCCATAATATGTTGGCTTATATGCAAATGATTTATCAAACCTAAATTCACAACGGTCTTTTGTCAAGGTAAATGGTAGTAATACTAATTGTTTTTTTTAATAATTGTACTTTAAAAAATACAGTTTAAGCCAAAAGTTTTACAAAAAGTTTAAATAACTTTATGTCAGGTATTTTTTTATATTTATTGATCAAATTATTTAATGTTTTGTTTATAATTTAAAGTATTCTAATAGACGTTACTAATTAAAGTTCTATTGTTCTGTATTTATCATGAAGTTTCAATAAATGTCTAAATTTTTAAAAAATTATAAGATATTATAAAACTTACGCGTGTGACTTACTAAAACATACCGTATAATAATCGGCTAGTTAAGTCCCGCATGAGCGTGGCTTAACCGTGGTTTTAAGTCACCGTGTAGTATAAAAGTATATTAGGTACATAGGGGAATTAAGGTAGTCTATTATCTAGATGTTAGTGCTGTTAGTCTATGCGACTCTTACAGCTTCATCTTGTCTCAGGGTAAGGTAGTTAACTGCGACATATATACACACACTTTTTTTTTTTAGTGTGTGTGTATATATATATATATATATATATATATATTATATATATATATATATATATAAATACGTATAATATACACAAAAGTTTATGCATATGTCGCACCAACCAGCTTAATTAGCAGTTCAATTAACAGCCTAGCCTTTTTACTACCTAAACCTAAACGGCGCGGCGCCTTTCAACTGGAATGATATACAGCCGCGGCGTCTAATATGATATTGCATCTGTCTTGTAATACCAGCGACAGTAAGTTATGGTGCTAGCTCAGGGGTGACAACGCATCAGCATTTTGATTCGTAATCGAGAATAGATGTAGATGTCTATGGGCCATAGCAACCACTTACCATCAGGTGGACTGTGTGCTCGTTTGTCACCCTATCCTATAAAAAAAATGGTTTTTGCATCACTTCAAATGTTCACAATACTCCGTCTTTCTTTCTTCGTTCGTGTAGGGACTTAAATTTTATTGGTAGGCTTAATAATTAGGTTATGTTTTAATCGGTATAGTATCATAAGTGCAGCGTCGCTGGGGACGTGCTGAGAGAATAATAGAGCTGAGGTAGCTCAGATGGTTAGCGCTCGTTGCAAATTTCACAGTACGCGAGCTAACTGTGTTCGATCCCCGCCGGCAACAATGAAATTGTTAGTAGCAATTTTAAGTGCTGATTTACCACGTGCTTGGCGGTAACGGAATAACTTCGTGAGAAAACTGAAATAAAATTTTTTTTTCGAAGACGTGAAATTCGTCAAGACGCATTGAGGCAGCGCGGCGGACACTTCCTTGCCCTGACACCCCTTTCAGAAATGAGGAGAGGCCCAAAATGTCCAACAGTGACACTCACCTATTTACTTACGTCATATTAACAATCCGGCCCGAGTATAACTTATACAAATTAGCATTAACCATTCGTGCATCAGTTTCGCTTGTTGTTTACCTTGTAACAATTATCACTCTGGGTGTGTTACCGTGTCGAGAAACGATAAATGCATATTGGTTGTGTATTGTGTGTTTGAGTGTATTTTATTGAATATTGCTAGGGTAGTGGGATATTTTTTCCATTTAGGAGTCCGACTGGGTCGGTATCAGACTTTTACCAAAAGAGCACTCTTATAAAGAAAGGATAATATTATAAATATATAAACTAGCGACCTGCCCTGGGTCGGATCTAATAATGTGCTATCAGTTTTTAGTCTTTTTTAAAAAAAACCATCCCTCCTGACACTGCTCTCTATTTGTAAAGTTTTATCATAATCAGTACAACCATTCCGAAGATTAACTCCAACAGACTTACAGAATGGTATTTTGAATATGGTTATTTTCTCAATATCATGCAATTAGGAGCATAATGGGAGCAACATACTGACCTTTTGCAAATTCAATTGTTAAAAAAAAATTTATGAGCCTATGACCCTGTGAAGTGACAAGGTCAAAGATTCCTACTAAATTTATTGTTTTATTGTCCTTTGTAAAGTAGGGTGGATATGATTTGAATTTCGATAGATTTTGATTAATTAATTTATTTAATTCAACATTTTTGCTTTTATTTGTAAAATATTAGTGCCATAGGCTTCTATTCCGTTCACATGTTACACCCTTTTTTTTCAGACGGTGAAAGAGGTCATCCAGTATAATAATATAGATTATGTGCCTATTTAAAGATAAGAATGCGTGGACATAATGAACTTCCTAGACTTCTTTTTTACCTTTGCATATATTTTTTAAGGATAAATTGTAACTGTGGAGGGTAAAATAGTCTACTTGCGAGCTTCTTGCTGCTTCTTCTCATGAAGTGTCCCCTCAGTAAGGACTCGTTTAAGCGATGGTGTAAAATTTGACTTTCAAAAAGTGCTTTGTAAGAGCCAATTTTGAATAAAAATATTTGATTTTGACTTAACCAATTTCTACCGCCAAAGGGCAAGAAAGGTTCTCGATTGGCAACCTCGTACCGGTAAATAAAGTTTAGGTAGCCCACTACTAGATGCAATGATAATATGGTAGGATATACAGGAAGTTGATGGATGCAGGTGGCTCAAGGCCGTGTTTTGTGACATTCTTTAATGGAGACCTTTGTCTTGACTTGTGATGAGCTTTTAGTGATAATGATGATGATAAATAATTATAATTAAAATTTTTAAAACCAATTAATCCTAACATATAAGAACTCTTCTGGCAATGGGCCGGCCATATAGCTCGAAGAACCGACAACCGATGGGGAGGAAAGATTCTCGAGTGGCAGCTTCGTACCGGTAGGCGTAGTGTAGGGCGACCCCCCACTAGATGGAGTGACAACCTGGTAAGACATGCAGGAAGTCGATGGATGCAGGTGGCTCAGGACCGTGCTTTGTGGCATTACTTGGGGGAGTCCTATGTTCAGCAGTGGACTTGTGAAGGGCTGTAATGATGATGATGATGATGATGAAGAACTCTTAGTAAACAATAAAATAAAACGTTAAAAACTAGCAAAGTAGGTAAAAAAGTATTTTCATATACTTCAGTGTCTTCATAAAGAATTTAGTACGTTTGCCCGAAATAACATACATTAGAGTACACGTGGCAACCCTATACATATCACAGGTGTCATAAGAGGACCCTATGGTAAAAGCCAGAAAGACCTTATGGCTTTGGACAGAATGGTGTTATATCATCTCGTTTACTCCAGATAATGACAAATCCTCTACAAATTCGTGTTCAGCAGTGGACACGGTAACAGTGTAACAGAGCTAAGCTGAATTTAAATTACTCGTAACATTTAGAAGTACAAATCTGCAATAATATTATCCCCAGGTCTGAACGTCCGCGAGAAGGCGAAGCAACTGGTGAACCTCTTAAAAGACGATGAGCGGCTGAAGAACGAACGAGCTCGAGCATTGAAGGCGAAGCAGCGCTTCGCACAAGGTGCCAGCGCCTTTGGCAGCGACGCCGCCTTGGATACGCCCTCCAGTCCCACTTTCCCTGGGGTAAAGATTCTATATTTATCTCGGTTTCAGATATTCCAACCTGGAAAAAGCATATTGGTGTTACATCTGGGTTTGTTTTAGTTAGGCAATTTCATTGTTTCCGATAGATGGCGGTACGACCATCTTGTTGACGTCAGATGTCATTGCTAGGAATATATATATAGTATGGTCAATATTATCATTAATAATATGATAATATTAACCATACTAACATTTGATGTCTTTTACAAGTATTTACGTATCACTTTTTTAAATGCCCTTATTAGGTACTTTTCTAACGTTTGGGCAAAGAATTTCAGAGAAGCGCAGCATTTGTGAAGTGTAGTGGGATACTTAATTAGTTGAGAAACGCAGAGTTCTATTATGCGTTGAGGGAAGATACTGAAATTTGGCTTTGTTTGTTGTCACTTATAGGTGTTTCGTGTTTTGTTAAAATATTTTAATTTTTTATAGAAGTGAAGGTGAGAAATAATTGTACATTCCACCTCATGGTAATACCATTATAAGACAGTAAAAGTAAAAAGTAAATTGTTTGTTTTTTTTTTTGTTTTCCCCCCGGGGGGTTATTTTCGTTTATTTTGGTGGGTAGCTTACTAAAGGGGAAAGGTTGTGTTTATGAGCAGATGGAGAGCGACGTGGCGTCGGCCGGGTCGCGCGGGTCATGGGGCGCGCGGTCGCGCGAGGCGGAGCTGGCGCGGCCGCTGACGGCGGGCGAGGAGGAGCTGCAGCTGCAGCTGGCGCTGGCCATGTCGCGCGAGGAGGCCGAGCGCGACGAGCGCCGCCGCCGCTCCGACGACGTGCGCCTGCAGCTCGCCATCAGCCAGTCGCAGCACGACCTGCAGTCAGTACCCGCGCCGCACTACATCACACACTACATCACACTATCTACACTAACTACACTATCACACACACAACCATACTACACTGCACTATACTACAACTACACCATAATACAATACAATATACACTACAATACTATACAACACGGTCAGCGGACACAGTAGACCTGTAGCTAGCGCTAGCTAGTCGCAACATGATCTACATTCTATACCCGTACTACACTGCCGTTCTACACAAAAACGCGCGTGCACACATACACACACAATCAATTCGAGTGCCACCCTCATACTGCCGCAATGTTGAGCGAACCCACGTCTTCACTAGATGAATTGAATTTGATTAATTTTTACTCAGTTTACTTTACAATCCTGTGAGCCGAAAATATTCAGAAGTAACGCTTGCGTAAATTACACAGTATGCAAGCAACCCAGGTTATGAATTCTCTCCGGCGCCAATGAAATTATTAATAGTAAGTACTCCTGAAGACCGCGTTTACCTAAACGCGGTCTTCACTCTATGACACGCCAACTCCAACAGTAATCCACTGGACCAATACGACGGTCTAATTTTTTACGTGGTAGAGCGACACTGCAGCTATTATGGTTGTAGCATGAATGGTTCGGCTTAACCGGGGTAGTACCACGCTCTCACAGAGTACCAGCGTAAAATAGCAGCTTTAATGGTGCTGTGTTTCGTATGGTGAGTGTAGAGAATCGGAAACCCGTTTTACTGGAATCGTGGCATTCCATCTTAGTCCTCAAGGGAGCAAAGCATCTGCATTTTGATTCTTAGTCGAGGATAACTGTAGATGTCTATGAGCCACAGCATCCATTTACCATCAGGCAGACTGTGTGCTCGTTTGTCACCCTTATTAGAAAAAAAAAATTGCTCCGTAACCTCTTCAGAAATAAGAAAATCCCTGTGTCCATCCAACATTAAGATGTATATACGTCTTATATATTAATAGCCTTAAATTTTATTTCTATAAATTACAAGAATAGCTTTGATCCCCTTCGACAGTATGTGAAACTTGGATTTAAGGTTTTCGGATGAGTTTCCTGTCATCATTCACCAGAGCCTCACCGTCAGGAACTTTGAGAAATATATTGGCATTTTCTTCTGTCTCCTAAACATACATTTTTTATTCAAGTTTTACATAAGATTGCCTTATTATGAAACATGGTTTGCGGGTAGTTTTGGGTTTAAACTAAGGTTTAAAATATAAATAAAAAAATTAAATTATTTATCGGACAACAGTGATCCATAAAATGTTACTAACAAAGGAAAATATATCACGTATGTTAGTAATATTTAATAAATAATTTTGTATGAGTAATTTGGCACATGTGCTCTACCAGAGGACAGTCCCCACTGTCGGCGATGGCTTGCAAGACAATGTTGCGGTTGCGGTGATCGGGTCTAATAGTGAGCCTGTGTTTTACGCAGGATAGTTGGGAAACTGTCAATCCCGGTTTACGCAAATATTATATATACATTACGTACATACGTTTTATCGCGACGTATTTCGCTTATGCGGCCACACTTCCGGCGGACCACAGAAATTGTGCGTAGCAGACAAGTAGAATTAAATTAGGATTTACGTCGGTGACAATTTTTTGAAGTAATGAAAAGATAAATAATTTTATGAGACATTTTGAATAAATAATGCAGTTGTCTAAAGCTGTCCCCTGTTGCCAGAAACGTGGTAAAAAATATTTATTCGATGCCATTTAATATAGAGCGGCCGCGACGTCCATTTTGTGTTTCGCATGTGTTTATCGCGATAAACTTTACAACGCGCAGTGTGGCCAAGCACATTCACAGTAGGCAGAAGGGTGAAGTTTTATAGCCGGAATTCTATCGCGATGTGTGTGGCTTAGACATAAAAATAGTTCTTATAACTAAAGTCCCTTAGGCGTGGCGCCACTGTCTTTGCGAAGTATAACATTTGCTGTCAATTCCATACATTACGTTTTAGTTCGCATATTTCCACAGGACTTATTTCGTGAAACATATTTCAGTATTAACCTGAGACTAAAATATAAACTACTTTTTGTAAAAAGGCCGGTAAAAATGTGTATAGACTGCCCATTTAGGTTTATACTATATTTCCTAACCTTCCCTTTTCCTCCAGGGTGCAACAGTACCTGCGATTGTGCACACAATCTCATGCACTATATCCCCCTGCAGTCAGCCCGTACTATTGGTTCTATGGCATAGAGTGGCAAACAAATGCGGTTTGGTTAGTTGCATATCGGCTAATTGTTTAGTTGTTTGAAGACGTAGCGTACAATTTGTTGTAGTTTGTAGTGAAGATTATTGTATTTTAGTTTTAGTTTTTGGTATATTTTGTAATTTGTGTTTCGTTAATTGAATATAATCCGAGCATTCCATCCTTAACCGCCTATCAAAATTCCACGGCAGAACATAGATTTCCCATATAAATTGTATCTGAAGGATTTATAATATAGTTGCCACACTGAGGACATGCGTTGGCAACTGCAGTTTTTTTGTTATTTCAGCTCATCTACTGTTTCAATTTCCCTCTATCCACTAACAATACCCTCGGAGTATATGGAACAGTGGAACCGTTTACACCGGCGTCACACGGTATTCATATAGTGTCTACTTACAATATAATTTAAACAATATATGAAACCTGAAACAGTACATACTCCAAACAAAACCAAAATATCTTAACATCCAAGCTTGATTGATTGATCGGGTGATTTCTGGATCTCGACAACAGCGCCACCTACCGGGTCTAAATGAGTTTTTGAACCATCCAAGGACCCACTCAAATACTCACTAAAAAATTCATCAAAATAGTTCAAGCCGTTTACATGTTATAGCGAGACTAACGGACAACATTTGACGGATTTTTATATATAATAAAGAAAATAAGAAGATTATGTCATATCACATAAATTTTATTTATAACTCTTAAATATATTTTCAGGACACAAACGGTCGAAAAGAAACCAGAGCCTGCTCAGCAGTCGCACTTACTGGACTTGCTGGATGTAAATCTGAGTCCCAGCGCATCAGCAGCCCCTGCGGCACCATTGGATCCATGGGGTTTACCTTCACCCCAGCATAATAGACAGGTTAATATATACATTTTTGGAAATTCAAATGTTAGATTAATATCTAATTACAGCTTTTTAGGTTTCGAATCCCCCATAACTCAAAAACTATGAGGAATTCATACTTGTAACTTTCCTCGCCTCATAATAACCTCTTAAATACATAAAATCCCATATTTCATAATTAGAGCTGTCCCTAATATTTCTGGAATTACACTTTTTAGGTTTTAAGGGCCTCTCTGCTGCTTAATAGTATGTGCGGTAGGCACCAGTCCCTTTACTATTTCTACCACCAACCTGCGAGCACGGCTGTGTTCCAGTCTGAAGTGTATAGAGAGCCAGCGTGGTTGCAGGTTGTGAGGCATTACATCTTAATCCTCAGACTTGACAACGCATCTGTAGCGATTTTAGTTTGAAAATTATTGCAGATTTATATAGACTAGCCAATTACCGTCAGATGGACTGTAAGTTGGTTTGTCACTTCAGTCATATTGTTTGTTTTTTATTTGAGTACCATACAACTGTTATACGGTACGCGTCGTACGGTTGCGCGACACGATAAACATCGAGCTAGTGTATAAAAAGTGAAAAAAAAATTTTTTTGAAGTGATAATAGCCTAATACGTGCAATAGTAGTGCATAGTTGGTGTTAATATAAACTTTATACTGATATCTGTTAGGAAGAACCTAAATTAAACAAAAAACTTAATATAATTATATTTTAAAGTGAAATTGAAAACAATAAAATCGGTTAATTATCAATGTAAAAATCAAAGACCATTTTGTAAAGTTTATAAACAAGTCAAGTCAAGTCAGACAATAGTTAATCAATAATTTTTGTTATATGGTTATGTTATTCTATTATTGAAAATTTTGTGCTCGTATATTAAACTATAAAAAGATTACATGTGAGTACCCACTTACAAAGATATGTAAAGTGTGGTATTACGATTAACATTTTCAGCAAGCTTTGACTACGAAGGCGAAAGTCGATAAAGATTTTTCTTTCTTTTTTTTAAGTTTTTTATTTGAATGTGCAGTTCATCATAGCACTTTAAATATAAATTTGGGAAAATTAACAAAATAAATCATAATTTAATAAGTCTAAAAATATGTCAAAGATACAGCTGAACTGTTGCAACGAAGCGAAAGACGATGAAGATTGCATGTGTTGTGCGAAATGTAAACACGGATACCACCGCGCGTGTTTGAAGTCGACCGGGCAGTTCAGCACAAATACAGAATCCACAACTGAGTGGATGTGCCCTGCCTGCACGTCAAGAAGGCCGAAAGGTAACAGCGAAAACACACCCGTGCGTAATAAAGACACGCTAGTTGGCAGCGAACAGAATGTCACGAAAAGATCGATTAAAAGAGTTGCTGTTTCGTCATTAAACACAGAAAAATCCTCTCAGACAAATGATATACGGGAGATGGTGAGCGAAGCAGAAGGGCCGAAATGAAAGAAATGCTGACGCAGATGAGAACTTCTATAAAAAGCGTACTAAATAGTGAATAAAAAGTAATAAGGGAGGAGATCATAGACAAGAAAAACTCCATAAATTTTATAAACGGCCAATACGAGGATTTCTTGAAAGAACACCGTGCAAATCTTACAGCTGTGAAGGATCTTAAAGAAAATAATACTAAATTAGAGGCGACTATAAACGCCCTTAACACACGGGTAAATGAGCTCGAACAGCGAACTCATACATTAACTTGGAATTGCAATGTGTTCCTGAAAGGAAAAACAAAAATCTGATCAAAATCGTGGAACAGTTGGGCAGTGTCATAGGGATAGATATAAATTAGCTGTATTACGTGGAATGTATCCTCAAACCCTGCTAACTGTAACTTCCCCCAGCAGCACAGAGCTTATTGGATTTCATAACGGAAAATGGCTTGCGCCAATGTAACTCTATTCTTAATAATAGGCAAAAGATACTAGATCTTGTACTCGTAGACTTACCTGTATGTTCCGTTAGTTACTCTTATAATCCAATCAGTAATATTGACCCAATGCATCCTCCCCTTGAAATAAACATACCTAATGTGGGACAAAATATACTCACATTAGGTATGTTTATTTCAAGCGATACAATTTTTATTCCCTTAAAAAAAGCTAAGAGTAATAGGTACCCTTCATGGATCAATTACAATGATGCAAAAAGAATTAAAGAAAAGCAAAAAATGATAAAACGATTTAAAAAATATAATAATCCAATGGATGAAATAGAACTAGTGATCGTTGTAATAGAATTATGCGTGATGCCTACAACAATTATAACGAAAACCTGGAAAAGCAAATTCGGAAGAATCCGAAAGCATTTTGAACGTTCCTAAAGAGTAAACGCAATAATTCTAACTCGTATCCAGCTGCTATGAATAACGGAGTTAAAACTTTTACTAGCGAAGTTGAAATATGCAATATGTTCTCTAGTTATTTTGCTTCGGTATATGATGACTCAAATAGTTCCTGTCGTTTAGATCCGTCATCTCATTTACGAAAAATCCTCTATTTAGGCTTTAGTGGAAATCTAGCAGGTATAGAAATAAATCAGAATGAAATCTTCAAAAAGCTGAAGGGTCTCGATATTAGCAAAGGTGCAGGACCGGACAATTTACCACCGGTATTTATAAAAAATAGCGCAACTAGCCTAACTTTTTTCCAATATTCAAGAGTGATTATGAGAAAGATATACGCAACTATAGGCCCATATCAATTCTCTCGGTTTTTGCAAAAGTATTCGAATCTTTAATTTGTCCAATAATTCAAATGCATTTCAAACGTTTTGTTTCTGAGCATCAACATGGATTTTTGCCAGGTAGGTCTACCACCACTAATTTAGTTAGTTTCACTTCCTCATTATCACAAGCTATGGACTCGCAGAAGCAGGTGGATACCATATATACGGATTTTAAAAAGGCATTTGACAAAGTTCCACACGGAATACTTATTGAAAAATTATCGTATTATGGGTTTTCAGGCCCAGTGCTAAAATGGCTTTCATCATACTTACACGACCGTTCTTTTTATGTAGTCGTTAATGGGCTCTTCAACCAATCTGGTAACATCAGGTATACCTCTGGCATCTTGGCCCAATTTTGTTTAATATATTTGTAAACGACATTGTTTTTTGTTTTGAAAACTCCACACCATATTTATATGCTGATGATTTGAAAATAACGAGAACAATTTGTTCACCAATTGATTCGATTTTATTACAGAACGATCTAGATAAACTAAGCAATTGGTGTAAATCTAATGGCATGAAACTCAACTGCAGTAAATGTCTTCATATTAAATTTACTAGAAAAAATAATATTACCCCAACGACATATAAATTGTATGGTAGTCTTAAGGAAGTTGAGCTCGTGAAAGACTTGGGTGTTATTACTTTATAAAAAATTGACTTATCTTTACCACATAGAAAGTGTTATAAACAAAGCTTCTAAATTATTAGGTTTTATTATGCGACAAGGTCGAACTTTTAAAGAAGCTAAAACAAAAGTCTGTCTTTACAACAGCCTTGTCTGCAGTCACTTAGAGTACTGTAGCGTTGTATGGCGTCTACATTATGCTACACACTACTTAAGACTGGAGCGTGTTCAGAAAAGATTCATGTGGCATCTATCATACTCAGCGAAGATTAACAAACGGTGGAGTCCTATAAAAAAGGCTAAAATACTTTAATATCATGACTCTTGACCAAAGAAGAGATTTGTTAGATTTAATGTTTTTATACAAATTACTAAGTAATAAGTTAGACTACCCCAGTTTACTAAGTAAAATTAATTTTCGAGTACCACGCAGATATTCACGTACTGCTATTACTCCAGTCATGCCTCCACGCACCAGAACGGTCTTCGGCGCCAACTCCACAATCCCTCGTTTATGTAAAATATATAATAAATACAGTCAGTTAATTGACATCAACATTAACTTGCCTAACACTCTTCGTAAATTAATTATCAGCAACCTAGACAGCAAGTCATCCTGGGTGTGATTTTTTTCTCATATTAATTATTATAGTATATTTTAATTGAAAGACTAATTATTAGTTTGATTAAATCTCTTTTGTTGCTTAAATTGATAAGGTTTTACAGGCCTTTACCGAAATTACTATTGTGTTTTTTTGTTTGTTTCTGATTTTGTTTTCTTTTTCTGTTATTAACTTATTTCAGATTTATACACTAATACTAGCAATAATAGCATGTAGTGCTTACCTTTAAATGATTTTACATACTCTGTGCAAGTAAAATAGTAATTATACTTTAAGAAATGTATGTAACGTATGTATTGTAAAATCGCTGGTAGATCCAATAAATAAATAAATAAATACGTAGTATGGCCGTGCTGCAGTTATATTAGTAGTATAGTTGTAGCACGAATGGGTCGGCTCGACCGGGGAAGGACTACGCTCTCACAGAATACCAGCGTTAAATAGCAGCTTAACGCCGATGCTTCGTACGGTGAGTGTAGAGAACCGGAGACCCTTTTTACTGGTAACAACGCCATCCATCTTAGTTCTCACGGGTAACAACGCATCTGCATTTTGATTCGTAGTTTAAGATACTCGTAGATATAGGTGTCTATGGGTGACAGCAACCACTTACCATCAGGTGGGCTGTTCGCTCGTTTGTCACCCTATCGAAGAGAATTAAAAATATTTGTTATATAGAGGTTAGGTGGTACTACGATTCGTTTTAACAAGCTCTTATCAGGTTAAACGTGTTAGAACCTGTCAAGACATAATTTATTTTGAAATTAAGTGGGAACAATTAATAGGTTGTGTTATGTCAAGGTTCCAAGTTGTAAAAAATTCGTTAATTAGAGGTAAATAATACTTTCCATATATATTCTGCAATGATTAAAAATTCGTTTTAAAGTTGTTTTTGATGAATGTAATCGTAATGTAGAGGTATATTTTGCATTACTCTTACGGGCAGTTCTAGGGGATTTCGAAAATAAACATATCCTGTACACTGTAGTACGATTCCAGTACTATTTTACCAGTACTAGGCTGCCACTCAAGATCCTATCTATCACATCAGTTTGCAGTTCTACGAGCTATTATGACTGCCTCAATGTAATTTTAGTCTTCTGTTCTGTTGGCTATATGTGATCAAATCTTTCTGTTATCATAAACATTAATGGAAAATTATAAAAATGAATGGGAATGACACGTTTATAATAATTATAGTTCTTTGTCTATGCATGTATGCCGTGAAGCGACGGCATTAGAGAATTTACCGACCCATGTCGTCTCTTGGGTTTCGTAAGAGGCGACAGAGGGAGACTTAAATGGGAGATGAGCAGTATCGTATTCCTGATAACAATTTAATAACCTTAAGAAAACTGTTTGCGAACCCACCTGAAAAATGTGGTGACTGGTAAATTATACCCTTTTGAGGCAATCACATTCGATTGCAAAGTCCACTGTTACTATCTTATATGGGTTAAAAGCACCATATAGTGGCGGTGTTAGAAAATCTACCACCACACATCATCCCGTGGGTGTCGTAAGAGGCGGCAGAGGGAAACAAATCAGGAGGAGGGCAGCGGTGTCTTCCTAATAAAGATTAAAAATAAAAAACTTGTCAATAGTAGCCACTATGGCAAATATCTCCCATAACGTAATCTATCGTGGAGGCCCATGTTTAATAATGGACTTTAATAGGCTATAATGGTAATGGATTAAAATTAAATATACATATAGTACAATATAGGTACATAAATTCTGTGCGATGAATTGTCTAGATTAATTTACTATTTAATTTATTATTTTACAATATCCAACAGTCACTGAATTTGGATCTCAGTATATTCTCTGACTCTATGGTAAGGAATCAGTCTGGGCGTGTTCTTGTAAGTAAATAGCATCATGCTAGAATTGTATGCTAATTTTAATAATGCTTTGTTATCCTCCATTATGCCATTGACCATATTTACTTCATATCAATTTTTAGGACACTAATTTGACATTATAAGTGTTTAAATTTCTAACGAACTGTTGGATGGCCCCTCACTAGAAGGAAGCTGATGGTGGTGGCTCGAGAATGTGCTTTGTGACTTTCCTTGGGGTACGCCTATGTTCAGCTGTGGACTTTTAAAAGGCTGTAAAAATGCTGATGGTTGAAATACTTAGACCCACAGTAGTGTTTCAGCCAAGTTCGGAATAGAAAGGGACGCACCGGCAGTGTGTATGTTTACATAAACCATTTGGAACCACTTTCGATTCCCCCATAACTCAAAAACTATGAGAAATTCACACATGCAACTTTCCTTGCCTCATAATAACTCCTTAAATACATAAAATCCTAAATTTCGTAATTAGAGCTATCCCTAATATTTCTGGAGTTATTAAGGTCTGGATCTATTTGTATTACTCACTGACTCGCTCATTAAAAATGTAGGCTACCACTGGGTTACACTGGGCAGCACGGGATATTCAGTTTTGACAAAATTATAAGTGCGGTTAGTATCTTTGTCGAGATTTAAATCTTAAAATTAAAATTATAAATAGAACCACTGTAGTGTAAACATAATAATTTAAAAACAGTTCATCATCATCACAGTACCATGAATGGGTCGGCTTGACTAGAGAAAAACCACGCTCTCACAGAATACCAGCATAAAATAGCAGTTTAATGCTGCTGTGTTTCGTATGGTGAGTGTAGAGAACCGGAGACCCGTTTTACTGGAAACAAGGCATTCCATCTTAGTCCTCAGGGGTGACACATCTTCATTTTGATTCTTAATCAAGAATAGATGTTTGATGTCTATGGGTTACAGCATCCATTTACCATCATATGGACTGTACGCTCGTTTATCACCCTTATTATGTAAAAAAAAATAGATTAATAAAATAGCAAAGCCAAGTTTAAAAAATTTATGATATCCCACCAAAAAATAAATGACAAAAAAGAGGCTCGGTGCAACCGATGTTCAAGGTTGTAATGTAATGTTGTAACATAACAATGAATATAACAATAAAATTATTTTTTTAAAGTAATGATGTATGAAACAAACAAAAAATAACTTTATTTCTATCTTATGACAGTTTCTTTGGTATTTCACAATCGTTTGACAAATTGAATAGGGGTAGGTGTGTGTGTATATGGTTGAGAGAGGCTGATGAAAGGTTTGCTGCTGGTGACAGGAGCGGGCGGGCGACGCGGGGCGCGCGGGCAGCCCGCGGGACGTGTGGTCCGCCCCGCCGCAGCCCCCGCCCGACCCCTGGGCTCCCGTGCAACAGGTAAACTACGACATATTCATTTCTTTTTGCAGGAAAAACTTTAGAATCATTGTGATTTAAAATGAATGAAACAAAAACGAAAAATCAACAGTAAAAAGTGACCAAAATATACATCTATAGGGATTGTCGCGCGAGAGAATCTGGTGAAATACAAAATACCGTGTTTATTATTAAATACATAAAACTTATAATCATCCTACTCCTAATAAGAGTATGACAAATGCAGAGGCATTCATTTCATTCTCTCGAAGATTAATTTTTTGTTAATAGAATAAGCGTGACAAACGAGCACACAGTCCACCTGATTATGATTGGATATCTACGAGATAAGATTCATTTGAATTATCTGCTCGGATCTGCCGTTGCTATTGAGTTTTAAGGTTAATTTACAATACAAATACAATCGATTTCCCCGAAGAGTTTCGTTCTTGTAGTGATTTTACTTGCGAGTCTACCGATCACAATTTACTTATCGATAAATTATATGGCGAAATTATAGATATTTTGACGGTGGCCGCAACGGAATCCAACACTGTAAGATTGCGTGGAGGGAGGCGGCCGGTGGTTGGGTGGAACAGATATGTGCGCGATGCTCACGGGGAGGCCAGATCTAAATTTTTAATGTGGGTTTGGTGGGGTAAACCGGATAGTGGAGAAGTTTATGAGGAAATGCGGCGTAGTCGCAATTTATTTAAGTCACGCTTACGCTGGTGTCAAAACCACAGCGAGCAAATTAAAATGGACATTGCGGCTACGCAGCATTCGAACAATGACTTTAAGAACTTTTGGAAATCTACCAATAAATTAAATGGTAGACCTGGCTTACCAGTGAGCGTTGAGGGTATTAATGACCATAGTCTCATAGCGGACATGTTCAGGGACCATTTTACGGTGACGTCACCGTTGCGACCATCACAGCTTGGAAGAGATGAATGTACGGGTGGTCAGGAGATTGGAATCCGATTTACAGCAATGGATGTCAATAATGCTATAGCCTCTATGTCCCGTGGCAAGTCTCCTGGCCATGACGGTCTGAGTATTGAACACCTAAGGTATGCGGGTCCTCATCTGCCCGGAGTGCTTGCCATGTTTTATAACTTGTGCATGGCACACTCGTACTTGCCTTCAGCGCTGATGAAAACTGTGGTGGTGCCAATTGTGAAGAACAGAACGGGGGATGTGTCTGATAAATCCAATTACAGGCCTATCTCACTAGCCACGGTTGTTGCGAAGGTTCTTGACAGTTTGCTTAGCGTCCACCTTGATAAATATATAACCTTACATGATAATCAGTTTGGTTTCAGGCCAGGTTTGTCAACTGAGTCGGCCATATTATGTCTGAAGCAGACTGTTAGGTACTATTCGGTTAGGCGTACACCTGTATATGCCTGTTTTCTCGACCTTAGTAAGGCTTTTGACCTGGTAAATTATGATATCCTATGGCAGAAATTGAAAAATACTGGACTGCCTGAAGAAGCAACCAGAATCTTCAAATATTGGTACCGTAACCAGGTCAATGTTGTGCGATGGTCCGAATCTTATTCGCAGCCATATAGGTTGGAGTGCGGAGTTAGACAGGGAGGCCTAACCTCCCCTAAGCTCTTCAACCTGTATGTCAATGCCCTCATAGAGGAGCTCAGTAGCACACATGTCGGTTGTCACATTGACGGAGTATGTCTTAGCAACATCAGTTACGCTGACGACATGGTGTTGCTGAGTGCTTCTGTTTGTGGCTTAGCGAAACTGTTGAGCATATGTGAAAACTATGCTCACAGTCACGGCTTAATTTATAATGTGAAAAAAAGCGAATGTATGGTCTTTCGGGCCAAGGGAAAAGCATTACCATCAATTGTACCACCCATTAAATTATATGGTACGCCGTTAAAAAGGGTGTCGCAATTTAAATATCTAGGTCATGTGGTAACCTTTGACTTGAAAGACGATGCTGATATCGAGAGAGAGCGCAGAGCATTGTCGGTTAGGGCGAACATGATAGCTCGCAGGTTTGTTCGTTGTTCCACCCCGGTTAAAGTAACGCTATTTAGAGCTTACTGTTCTTCATTTTACACAAGCAGCCTGTGGATCGATTTTACGCAGAATCAGTACAATGCTCTGCGCGTTCAGTACAATAATGCTTTTAGGATGCTGATGGGACTGCCTCGATTCTGCAGTGCGTCGGGTATGTTCGCTGATGCGCATGTTGATTGTTTTCACTCGATCATGCGCAAGAGGTGCACATCCCTGGTACGCAGGGTTAGGGATGGTCCCAGTGGCGTCCTGAGGGCATTTGCTGACAGGCTGGATTGTCAGTACCTGAACCACTGCCGTATGGTGCACGTGCTGACAAATCAGGGCTGTCTTAGATATAAGATATAGATTAAGGTAGTCTTAAGTTTACTAACATTAGACTAGTGTTTTTCTTATATATGTTACTAACAAATATGATCTTTAAGGTCGAAATAAATGATTTTTATTTATTTTATTTATTTTTAATTTGTTTTCTACCCTCACTCGTAACTATTATAAATCGCGATTGAAGTGTTTTTACGGCGGTATAGAAATACATATTTTTCTTATAGAATAAGGGTGACAAACATGCACACAGTCCAGCTAATAGTAAGTGGATGCTGTGGCCCATAAATATCTACATTTATCCTCGATTAAGAATCAAAACACAGATGCATTGTCACCCTTGAGGACTAAGATGGAATGCCTCGTTTCAACTAAAAAACTGTTCGACAATACATTCAACCATTAGTATTAAGCGCAGTTTTCGTTCAGAGACTTAGGGTTCTGTGAAGCATTATTATTGATTTTCACTACTGCAATCAATCTGTATCCACCGCTGAAGAATGTTGAACTGTGTTCGAAGGCAGCTAAGCTAGGGTACTAAACCATTAAGATTTGATTGCCAATTATGTATTCGGGTAATTGAGTGCTCACCATGGTATTACAGAGCCGTGGTAGCTCAGATGGTTAACGCTCGCTGTAAATATAACACAACGCGAGTAACCCGGGTTCGATCCCCGCCGGCACCAATGAAATTGTTAATTGCAATTTTATGTGCTGATTTACCACGTGCTCGGCGGTGAAGGAAAACATCGTGAGGAAACATGCACGTCTGAGGAATAAGAAAAAATATATTTTCGAAGACATGTGAAGTTCGCCAACACGCACTGGGGCAGCGCGGCGGACACTTCCTTGCCCTAAAACCCTCTCAGAAATGAGGGGAGGCCTGTGCCCAGCCCAATAACTTTACTTAACTTTGCATGGTATTCCCGTTACCGTTACAACCTATTAAAGTCCACTGATGAACAAAGGTCTCCCCCATAGATTGCACGACAGGGGGGATATTCGCCATACTTGCCACGTTTGGCAAGCGGGCTGGCAAACGCAGTTTTATTTTTATTTTTAGTCGTTATTAGGAAGATGCTGCTGCCCATGTCCTGATTTGTTTCTCTCAGTCGCCATTTGCGACACGGGATGGTATGGGGTAGTGGTATTCTTACACCGCCACTACACGGTACCCTCGTGGTATTAGCTTAACCCTATATGGACAGAATGACGACAACGATTAAGCTTTTGACTGCCGTGCAAGTCACTTTGTATGAAGTATTGCTGACGGCAGTTTAAGTGTTAAGAATCGTTGAATGACCTAAGCTAGTTGTCTGCTAAGAACGTTATACTGCATGAGCAAGTGGGGGAGTTTTAACGCTTATTTATCTACCTCAGCTATTAGTTACCCATCCTCACTCCTCACACTACCCTCTAATTCTCACCTACTATAGCTTTTTTACGTCTGCTAGTCACAGCTGGAAACGGAAGTTATAGTCTTAGTTGTGAAAAATAATTTGGCTGTAGTCGAATGATCCTAGTTTGAAAACTTTTTTAGCAGTTAGCGGTTCATCATCAGGAAAAATATATCCTATGTTGGGTATATGATCTGTTGATAACCTTGTTTATACGTAACCTTGTTTGTGGGGGAAACTCCGGGCATAAAAGCGAATTTAACGAAAGTGAAAGAGAGAGTTTAAGAGGAGGGGAGGGGGAGAGGCCTTCTTTGTTTAAAGTTGGTTGTAGGTTGCAGTGGCCACTTGTAATCAGGTGAACTGTAAGCTCACTTGTCAGTTTTATAATTTAACTTATAATCTAAGTACATAAATAATTTTATTTTAAACTACGTACGCAATCTTATAAATCTTAACTATATAGATTCAATAATAAAGTTTTAAATGCAGTATAATCTATTCTAAATAAGATTGTCTTAAGCCTGCACAACTAAATAAATCTTTACATTATAAACTTACGTTAACTACTAGTTAGATGCATTGATAGTAATTTGCGACAGCAATAGACGTGCTTCGATTTTCAATCATGTTTTTCTTTACTAAACATATGAATTCTTGCTAAACATATGAATTCTTTCGATTTTCGAAACAGGGTAATAAGAACATAGGCATTTGCTACTCGATGTGACAATAATATTATAAAATGTGCATTGTTTTGAATTGTTTGCTGTTGATGCCCACATTCTTATTTTATATTTTATGTTGGTTTGAATTTGAAATGTAATTGTCAATATTCTTACAATTATGATTACTCAATGATTAAATAATGTCGCTCCAACACTTGTTTCAATGTTAACATATTTATCTATTTTAAGTCAATCCTGTGTTTCTCAGACAAATGAATGTTCTATTCTTATGAGAAATAAATTTCTTAAACCATAAAGAAACGTCGGGTAAAAATACATTATGTGTGTTTCAGAGTAAGTCGTTGTCGGCGGTGAGTGGAGTGCCGGCGATGTCTGCGGTGTCGCCGGTATCGGCGCTGTCGTCGCCGAGCTCGGGCGAGCTGGAGCAGTTCGACGCGCTATCGCAGCGCCCGCGCGCGCAGCCGCCAGCAGACAATGACCCCTTCGACCTCTCGCTGCTCGGTATTCAAACAAATGCAATTAAAACAATCAGGCCTTGCTATGCGGAAACCCATTATATTAATGATGTTAAAAAGCTAACAACAGCGTAAGAAAATAATATGTCTTACCTAGTTTGAACAGTACCTCCCGCCCACTCTCAATTGCGTGCACTATTCCCGTCACCACCACTACTCCCAACAACTGTACACTAGGAACTGTTATGGCTCGTCGGTGACTAGTAGTCACCGCAAAGTCTATTTCACTTGCGGATACCGTGTGTAGAGACTAAACATATGTCGTATTATCGACGGTGGTGTGCCTTTCGGTTTAAACCTATTTTTTTTGCTAAACGCGGTCCGAGTAGCTTGTTGCTCTTTTAACTCTGCCTACCCCCTCGGGGATTACAGGCGTGAGGCTATATGTCGCGCAGCAACAGCTCAGTAACAAAGCTGTATTTGACATAGGTTGTGAATGCTCTTTATTTTAGTATGGTATGGTTTTGTAGTATGGCAAATTCAATCAAAATTTCTATTATACCATACCAAATTAGTAAACAAAGCTCACAGGTAATAATAGGGTAAAACAGCAGCTTTAGGCTGGTAACGAGGCTTTTCATCTCTGGATGTCTATTGTTTTCGAATAAACGTTTAATATATATTATGGCAATTAATATCTATTATAAAAGTTTGTTTCATTTTTGAGCTATCCTACATTTTATTAAATATATCGACTCACCTTATTCTATTCTTTTCAGGTTTTTTGTTTACGTGGAAAGAACAGAATTAAATTAATCGTATAGTGCATAATTAATATAGTTTATAAATATTATTTCAAATCTACTAGGTGCTTTTGTTAAGACATCAGAATTTTTTGGTCCTTCGAGTCAGATATTATTATATTTAAATCTTTAAATGTCTTCGGTTTTTGATCGTTATTATTGTAGTTATTAGCTTTTTATCAGCCTAATGTACTGTTCCGAAGTTAAATTACAATCATTTTTAACAATTTGACAAGTGTAGTACTAAGTCATCCGAGTAGCTCACTGCTCTTTGGACTCTACCTACCCTCTCGAGAATTACAGGCGTGAAAATATATGTATGAGCAACGTCTTTCACCTATTGTACTCATGACGAATCTGACCATTTTGTCTTGAAATTCTATAGCTAGACTAAGCTCGGTGCGGGGCCGCGGTTTAAAACCCTGTTAGGGTTAGTGTAAAAACATAGTGAGGACGGAGCGGGTGGCGGAATCCGCAAGCGGGTGTCGTTAACACACAGCTTCTTATGCGTGTGAATATAGTTGCAGCGGCACGAGAGGAAGCAAACTAGTTTGCGTTTTTCGCTCGTGGCGTTTGGTCATATCTTTCTCGACAGAAGACTTAATAAGTGCCGTTTTGACACTGCCGCCATTGTGGAATTATGGCGATACAGATCATATATTTTCCCATATGTAGTCGAAAGTATTTATTGACATTCGCGTGTACTCAAAAAATTTCTCTTCATAATTTCTTAATCTTGCGTATAACGCATAAAATTTGTCTTTTTGTAATCTATCTTTATTTAAGTAATGACGACTGCTTTTGGAAAAAATACCACCTGTAGAAAGAATTAGTTTCTAAAAATTAAGACACGATAATGCTACTACGCGTTTACGCTAAAACTCCCCGCGAAGTACTGTGTTCACGGGAAGGAATATGCTTTTACCGCCCTTCTCGCATCCGTTCCCGCCGCCAGCGCGGCTCCTACTGCGTTTGTACGTTATACGGTTATAGCAAGAATAGGTCGTCTCGATCGGGGAAGGACAATGCTCTCACAAAATGATGCTGTTTCATATAGTGAATGTATAGAACCCGAGAACCTTTTTACTGGAGAAGAGGAATTCCATGTTAGTTTTTTTTTACTTCTTATAAACCAGTGCTTGACCACCATCCCACCTGGTGGTGAGTGATGATGAAGCCCTCGATGTTAAATTGCACTGTCTTAGCGTAATAAAGCCTATTCACTCTTGATTCGGAGATGGCACTTCTTTGCTGTACGCATTAAAACAGACGAAGCAAGCCGCTTGGTTCTAATGCGTGGAATATCGACAACAAACCTGGTTGTTCGATGGTGGAAAGGAGAGGGATGAATTAAAGCGTGTAATGCCTGCGCACACTCACCGAAATACATCCTATAGGATACTGAGAGGCTGGCTACTCTGCCTCCGGGCTCGAGGCTAAGATTGATATCAACCAAACCAAGTTTACCAATGAGCCTTTTACCACGTCTCTCCACTGAGTCCAACTCGCTCTTTATATAAGACACTAAGCACGGACACGTAGTTTTGTGGCGGCAGCTTTGGCCCTGGACTCCGTGAACCGCCCATAGTTAAGGTTCAGAGAAAATTCAACCCTTAATGACTGAAGGCGGTCTGTACTCCAAGGATACAATTCTGGAAAATAGGAGCCAGAGTGAGCAGGCCCGGTTTAGCGGTGGAAAGACACGCTTGTGTTTTTGAGGCGTTGAATCTCACGAAATTGGCATCACCCCATTCGGATACTGCCTGCAGTGAGAGATTCGCACGTTTAACCATAGCTTTTCTTTCGGACTTGATGTGGTTCTGACTGGTTCGAGTATTCGGCTGGTACTTCCACGACTGCGCTGTCATCTGCATACCTATAGGTACCAGGAATGAGCTGATTTGCTCATTAATATGCAGCAGGCAGAGAGTTGCGGAGTAGTTTGCCCAAAAAGCTAGTGTGCCAAATACGTCAAAGGACTTCGAGACAACAATGGAAACAGCAAGTGCTTCCCCACTTTTGTCAAGGGCTTTGCCCCATGTGAGTGGAAAAAGCTAGAAAGTCCCCAGTTGATCGATTTCAGGAGGAGGAGGAGATCATTCTGCTCAGGTATGCCATGAGGTGGGCGTTCAATATACTCTCCATAATCCTAGAGTATGGAGGTAATGAAATTGACCGATAGGTGGCATTTTTTTTTTCTTTGTCATATAGATTATGTGCTCGATGTATGAAGAGAACGTTAATTGAATGATCGGTTTGTGTAGGTGACAGTCTGAGCGCGAAGCCGGCGGGCGTGAAGAAGTCCCCGTCCGCGTTCCTCGGCGAGAACTCAGCGCTGGTGAACCTTGAGAGGCTGCTGCAGCCCGCCGCCGAGCCGCCAGCGCCCAACCCCTTCGCGCCCGACCCGCCGCTGCAGCCGCCCGTGAGTACCCTCACACGTACACGCACGTGCGCGTTAGTACACACGTACGTGCACACAAGCACGCACGCGTGAACACTCGCACACACACACGCACACATGCACACACATACACGCACAATCACGCACGCATAAACGCTCGCACACACACACATATACACAAACACACACATGCACTCACACACGTACACATACACGAACACACACGCGCACACACGCGTAATCACCACCACCAGTTGAAAAGCAATACCTAACAGTATACAATTTTGCACAAAACAATTGAAAGTGTAGAGGAAATAATAGTCATGTTAAAATATTGTTTCGGGTGATAACGTTTTCACCCCCATTAACTTTTACGAAATTAAAAATTTTGATCTCATAAGATTCAGTACACCATAATCTAATATACGTTTTTCTTTTTTAATAATTCACTTTAATTAAATTAAAAAAAAACTCTAGAGGAAGTTTTTAGGTCAAAAATATAGATATTTAGATGCTAATAACTTATATCTTACGTACTCAATATTTCTTTAAAATAAAATAATGCTACGTTTACGAGATTGACATGGGTTTATAGGGGCGGGGGGGGACGTTATTGCTTTTTGTATAAAAATTCACAGCTTTACAATCCTCTTGATGATGTATCATCATCATCATCATTACAGCCTTTCACAAGTCCACTGCTGAACATAGGCCTCCCCCAAGGTATGCCACAAAGCACGGTCCTGAGCCACCTGCATCCATCGACTTCCTGCATGTCTTACCAGGTCGTCACTCCATCTAGTGAGGGGTCGCCCTACACTACGCCTAAAGGTACGAGGCTGCCCCTCGAGAATCTTTCTTCCCCATCGGTTATCGGTTCTTCGAGCTATATGGCCGGCCCAATGCCACTTCAGCTTACTAATCCGTTGGGCTATGTCGGTTACTCTGGTTTTACTGCGGATATGCTCATTTGTGAATCTTATCACGCAGAGAAACTCCGAGCATAGCCCTCTCCATAGCTCGCTGTGCGACCTTGAGCGTCCTCATACGGCCAGCAGTGAAGGACCACGTCTCAGATCCGTATGTCATCACTGGCAACACGCACTGGTTGTACAATCTAGTTTTCAGAGTTTGAGGTGTACCTGTCGAGAAGATGTATCGTAATTTCTCGAACGCTACCCAGCGGAGTTGAATCCGTCGATTGACCTCTCGGTCGAAGTTGGACTTACCTAGTCGGACTATTTGTCCCAGGTAAACGTACTCGTCAACATCTTCGAGCTTAGAGATCCCAACAACTACCGGCATAGGACATTAAACAAGATTTTTGTTTTGTCCATGTTCATCTTAACCATTTCACTGTCCCATGAGTCATATATGAACATTTCGATTGTTTAACTATTGTGTCTATTTCGCGGACAGGGAAGTTGTTAAGACCTATCTGTTGTGAGACACCATTGAGGTCATTGAGCATGGTGCTTAGGTCCTCCAGCAATTCTGCCATAAGGACTATATCGTCGGCAAATCGAAGGTGAGTGATGTACTCGCCATTGATGTTAATACCGTATCCTTTCCAGTCCAGTAGCTTGAAAACGTCGTCCAATGCAACGGTGAAGAGTTTCGGGGATATAACGTCACCCTGTCTTACACCTCTCTGCAGTTGGATAGGTTTCGAACTCTGGTTCTGTACTCGGATAGCCATCGTAGCCCTACTGTACAAACACTTCAGCACTTCGATATACCGACAGTCAACTTGGCACCGCTGAAGGGACTGTAGCAACGCCCAAATTTCGATGGAATCGAAGGCTTTCTCATAGTCCACATATGGCAAGCAAAATGGCAGATTGTACTCTTGCCAACCCGCTCGCCAAGCGTGGCAACTATGGCAAATATCCCCCCATGAATAAGAAAAGACCTAAAAATAATAAATTAAATTCCACAGATTAGCTTTTGAAGTTGGGGCTCCAATACTTCTATATGCTATGTTTAAGCACTGACTTCTGGACCATGGAAATTATTATATTTCTTTTAGCTCTTTGAAGTCTGCTTTTAATTCTTTATTAAGTGCTTTTTTTAGCTCATAGTCTTCATACGCCAGACAAAGTGGCAGATTGTACTCTTCGGTCTTCTGTACAATCTGCCGCAGAGTATGTATGTGGTCTATGGTACTTAAACCTTTTCGGAAACCGGCTTGTTCGGGAGGCTGGAAGTCGTCGAGTCTGCGTGCGAGACGATTCGTAATGACTCTCGAAAACAGCACGTAGACGCGGCTCAGAAGGGAAATCGGTCTGTAGTTCTTAAAGAGAGCGTTGTTGCCTTTCTTGAAGATCAAGGCCACCGCACTTCTGCTGCACGCCTCCGGAGTAGTGCCAACATGGAGGACGGAATTGAAGAGCTTCTGAAGGACTTTAAGTACCAGTGTTCCACCCGCTTTCAGAAGCTCCGCTGTATTCCATCCTCGCCTGGGGCCCTGCCTTTTTTAAGGTCCTGGAGAGCCATTCTAATCTCGCTCAGACTGACGTCCGTGATATCATCGGAATAGTGTCTGATAAGACTTGCTCTTGGATCGTTACTCACACTTGCGTGTGGCTCCAACGATGACGTGTACAGCTGGCCAGCCAGTGCCAGCTGAACCTGAACCTCTCAATCTCACTCAAAATCTCAGGTGTCTCGGAAACGATGTTGCCACACTCAGTCTTCAGCTTTGGCAGTTGACTGTTTCTGGTAGACAGATCTCTGGCAAAGACTTTGGAGCCCTGGTTCCGCTCAATCGCTTCATCAATACGAGCAGTATTAAAGTTGCGCAAGTCCCGCCGCATGCATGTGGAGATCTGTCTGTTCAGTTGCCTGTATGCTGTCATATCTGTTGACGATTGCAGCCTCATCTCCCGTCTAACAGCCATGAGATTAAGAGTGTGCTCGGAGAGTTTTTGTGTTCTTCTGCGGCGGGTCTTGCAGAACTTAACTCCAACCGCATGGACAGTTTCCACGACCTTGTCATTCATATCGTCCACTGCAAAATCTTCTAGGCACTGAAAGCGGTTACGTAACTCTAGCTGAAAGGTTTCGGGATTCTGGATTAAAGCATGAGGGGAACGGAGTGTTGACTTCATTAGACGAGACCTCTCCAACTTTTAACGTTTAGGTTCAGTGTGCCTTTAACCATTCGGTGATTGCTGCCAGTTTTCACCCCTGCGATCACTGAGACATCACTGAACAGTTGGCGTCTGGTCTTCATAATGAAGTCAATCTCATTTTTTGTCGAACCGTCGGAGCTCGACCAGGTCAACTTTCTGTGGGGCCGCTTCTGGAAAAAAGAGTTCATCATAAAAAGGCCCTCTTTCTCCATAAAGTCGGCCAGCTGCTGGCCCCTTGGGTTCCGTTGCCCTATCCCAAATTTCCCTACCTTCAGCTCACTGTTCTTTCTTGTGCCCAGTTTTGCGTTGAAGTCTGCCATTAACACCGTATAGTGTGTTTTAAAGGAATGCGTGGCTCTAGAAATATCCTCATACATTTCCTCCACCTCCTCATCGGGATGTTCCGACGTTGGAGCGTAAACCTCTATGACCTTCAGCGAATACCGTTTGGTGATTGAGTATAAGGTACGCAATCCTCGTCGATGCACTTCCGATCTTTAAAACGTTGTTAACGAGAGACTTGTGGACGATAAATCCAACACCTCCTTGGGACAGATGGTTGCCCTCACGGTGATAGAACAAGTTGCCGGATTCGAGAATCACCGTATCCTCCCCCTCTCTTCGGACCTCGGATAATTCTATAATATTCCAGCGCAACTTGTCTATCTCTTCTTTCAGCTCCAGTATCTTCTCGCCAGTCCTCAAGGTACGTGCGTTATATGTTACGAGGTCGAGTCGTCGTAGGTGGCAACCGAACCTCCACCGGAAATTCTTAACACCGCCCGCCCCGCCGTTACCATGTTCGTCTCCGTAGCCAGGAATAGCGGGGCCGCCGGGGATTGGAGGCCGTCTATTTGTGTAATTGCTCATGGGGGGTATATTGCCATAGTTGCCACGCTTGGCGAGCGGGTTGGCAACCGCAGTTTTTTGTCGTACAGTTGCTGCTATCAGGAAGATGCTGCTGACCATCTTCTGCCTGTCTCCTGCAAGATATGGGGTAGTGGATATTCTCAACCGCCACTACACGGCTTGATGATGTATACACACGCGTATTCGCGTAAATATAAGAAATTATGAATTTTGAGTGTTAAGCTCCATATGAATACCGAATATTGTCAACAGCCCCGGCTAACTATAAACGAGTTGAAGCAACAACAAATGGGACTCGGCACCGGTCTGGCGTACCCCCCCGTATCGCCGGCATTTGGCGCCAACGGGAATATGGCGGCCGCCTTGCCCATGGCGACAAATGGCAGCATGGCAGCGAGTGGCAGCGTGGCAGACCCGTGGGCGCCGGTGCCGGTGGCAGCGCGGGCCGCGTCGCCCTGGTCGCCGCCGCCACAGCGCCACACGCCCAACCCCTTCCTCTCCTAGCCACTGGTAACTGTCCCCGGACATTTTTATTGTTTACTAGCTTCTTCCACTTCTGCACTTTCCAGTAGGTAGGTTACACTACAAGTTTCACTCCGAATTCATCTGCAATATTGTGAATATGGCTCATTTGGTCCATAAATATTGAATTTATAAATTTGTACGTGGTAGAGTCACGCTGCAGTTATGTTTGTAGCATGAATGAGTCGGTTTGACCGGGGAAGAACCTCGCTCTCACTGAATACCAGCGTAAAATAGCAGCGTAATGCTGCTGTGTTTCGTATGGTGAGTGTAGAGAACCGGAGACCCTTTTTACTGGAATCGAGGCATTCCATCTTACTCCTTATGGTTGATAACGCATTTGCATTTCGATCCTTAATTGAGGATAAATGTGGATGTCTATGGGTGCCAGTATCCACTTTCCATCAGATGAACTGTGTGCTCGTTTGTCACCCAATGCTCTGCTCTGCTCTCTACTGTCTACTGACATTTATTTGTTTGTTGCTAGCTGGCTGGTCAGACGTTGTTTTGTAGGGTTCCCCTTTCCGGTAGGTGACAAGATGAGCAATACGCAGAATTCATTAGCAATATTGTGATTATTGGTCATTTAGTTGGTGGTTCACTTGGTGCTGCAGCACGAATTTGTCGCTTCAACCGAAACCGCACCATGCTCTCGATACCAGCGTAAAATAGCAGCTTGATGCGTCTGTGATTCATGTAGTGAGTGTACAGAATCGGAGACTGTTTTTACTCGTAACGAGATATATCTTAGTCTTCAGCGGTGCCAACGCGTTTACATTTCTGTCTATGGGCCACGATATTTACTTACCATCTGTTGGACTGTGTGCTCTCCTGTCGACATTATTTTTATTGAAAAAAATTGTGTTTATAAATATTAACACCGATAGATGGCGCTGTAATCGCATAATCTGTTAATAATGCGATTACAGCGCCATCTATCGGATCCTAGCTTGCTATGAAGCATCGAAAAACAAATAGGTATATTGGAAGACTCATTTCGAAGTTATGATCACTAACAGACACAATAACGATTTAAAAAAAAATTTGTATAACAATTTATTTCCCAAGTTTATCAAGATAGAAGTCATCCCTGCGAAAATTAAAATTTTTGTTTTATGCCAAACAAAGCTTGCTCACCTAGCTATGAATGTTACATAATAAATAAGTACAGTGGATTTCGGGTATAACGACGATGAAGGGGCCACTCAATTTTCGTCGTTATATCCGGATGGCGTTACAGACAAAGGTAAAGAGACACAGACACGTACACATGTATATAGTTTATATTCATTTATTATTGAAAATAATTTGCACACATACTTATTCACTGGTATATTTCAAAATGCTACTCAGTATAGGTATCACTTTGTAATCTCAGAAACGTACACGTTTCCCTACCTACTTAGCTGACATCTATAAATAAAAGGTAAGGTCTTCATACTTGCTGACCATCTGTGTTGATGTAAACAAAAGATAAGAAATGTTTGTGTCTTTGGCGGCCGACTCCGGTTGCAATATCTGCATCTGCATGGGATTTCTAGGAATTTGTTACAAATATTCATTAAAAGTCGCTACACCCGCACTCGGCGTTACGTCCAAAGTCGCTATAACCACATGAACTAAGGTACCAATTGTACTAAGGTATGCTTTAAATTCAAGGGACTTAGATTTAACGTCACTATAGGTAAATCACGCTACAACCAAGGTCGTAATAAATGAAATCCACTGTACTTGTACATAAATAGTGGCAACAAACGAGCACACAGTCCACCTGATGGTAAGTGGACGCTGTGACCCATAGACATCTACATTTTATCCTCGATTAAGAAATAAAATAGAGATGGAATGCATCATATCCAGTAAAAATTGTCTCCGGTTCTCTGCACTCACCATGCGAAACAGCAGCGTTATTGAGCTGCTATTTTACTGTGATATTCTGTGAGAGTGTGGGGAAAGACCTTTCCCCTGCCGGGCTGACTTAACACACAACCATAACATAGCTGCAGCGTGACTCTACCATGTCTAAGTTAACGGTCACTTTAAAAATTACAATTATTCTAGAACTTAATCTCCTTAGATTGGAGGCTAAAGCAGTGGCGGCCTCACTGTAACCCACTCCGGACTAAGACGGTGGCATCCAGACAGACGAGCAGCCAGAGCTGCACACAACTTGCTCCGGACCTGCTGCAGCCGAGTGCCGCAGCTCGTGTGTGTGCGTGACGCCTTGTCTGTCAACATGAACACTAACCGACCGTTATTACTTTATATTTATGTATTCTGCACTTGTTTGACATTATTGGCTCTATTTTAGGGAAAATTTAGAATTTTTATGTATGGCAATAAAATTACTTTTTTTTAATTTATAACAAATCTTGATTGAATATTAGTGAGTTGACCTTATGCCCATATTATAGGGAAAATTTAGAATTATTATTTCTGGCAATAAAATTCTTTTTTTAATTTATAACAAATCTTGATTGAACTAGTGAGTAGGTTGTACAAATTTTACGTTTTCCCACATATCCAATTACTTGTGTAATGAAATAATTTGTAAATTTTTCGATGTTTTTTCTTGAGTGGTGTTAATGTTAATAGAATCATGTGGATGTTATTTGAGTGAAGGACGAAATAAGATAATATTTTAATGTGGTGATAGGTTTAAAATAAAGATGATAAGTCTGTATAGATGCTGTATACAAAATCGAAATGTTCACATAGACTGGGTACCGCTGTGACTTAGGTAGTGGTCTGTATGCGTTTAAGAATGACAGCGACGTGTATTATATATTTAAATCCCAAATAATTAATGGCCCAACACTCAAACCGTATTAGTAGAGCCGTGGTAGCTCAGGGGCCAAGCGCTCGCTGTAAATTTCACAGTATGTTAGCAACCCGAGTTTGATCCCCGCCTGGACCAATTAAATTCTTCATTGCAATTTTATGTGCTGATTTACTGCATGCTCTGTGGTAAAGAAAAATATCGTGAGGAAATCCTGCACGTATGAGAAATAAGAAGAAAAAAAAATATTTAGAAGACATGTGAAATTTGCCAACGCGCATTGGGGCAGCGCGGCGGACACTTCCTTGGCCTTTAACCTTCTTAGAACAGAGAGGAGGCGTGTGCCCAGCAGTGGGACGTATATAGGCTGTACCTTTACTTTTTTTACTCAATTTTTAGATGTCGTTAAGTCTCGTGTGTCACAGACATCGACTTAAAGCGATAGAGTCTGCATGACAACGTCATGCAGCATTAGGCAGATGACGTCAACATCTTAAAATTGAGTTGTGTTTGAGTATTTGGGAATAAGTGTATTATTGTTTGGTATTTAAAAAAGTTCATTATTAAACGCGTATAGAACATTTAGAATAGCATAGTCACTTTAGCATTTGCAGTTGTAAGCAATCACGGTTGCAACGAGAAATATTTCTAATTATATCGTACACGTGCTAAACAACAGGTATTTTTTACCTAATATTAGGAATATTTCACATGCGGCTACAATAAGTTACTAAATTGGCTGTAAAGTGTTCAAATAAGGTGTTTATATAAAGGATTTCCACAGTATAGTAATTGGTTTAGAATCAAATTAATTTATTTTTGAAGTCGAATTCAATAAGATTTGAATAAAAATTGACTGCAATAACTTAAAAAAATAATTGGAGGGAGAGACATGGGTGATCTGATATTATATTTGGTTTAATAGGTGTGGTTATTTTTCGAAATTTGAATAGCGAATTGTATTATCGATTTCGCTCAGCTTTTGAGTCAATACAATTTTGTATTAAAATATTTAAGATAATTATTAAAATCTGGCGTTACTTTATATTAAATATGTTAAAAATTTACTAGCTAAAATCCGCGTAAAAAATAAAATGATATGTCATACCCGGTTTGAACGAGACTTTAAACTAGGTAAGACACGTCATCAGACACGTTAATAAAAATATTTAGAATTTATATATTATATATTTAGAATTTTTAAAACTACGCTGCTCACAAATACTGTGGGGATCCAGCACAACGTCCATAGACCGACGGTTGAGGGAGGAATAAGTTGTAAATCGTGCCTTAGATTACAGTTTTGTATGAAATATGACTTGTCCCCGCTCGCTTCACGCCCGCCCGGTGACCCGGTGACCGCTGTCACTGTGACAAGATACTGTCCATGTGACAGCAGATGTCAACAGATAACCATGAACTGACGTTTTGAAAATGCATTTGAATTTCTTGTCCGATATGTTATCATTTATTGTGTGTATTATTCTACACACACCTAAAAAAATGTGCATGTAACTGTGTCCACGCGTACGAAGTGAAACTTCTGAACGACTTCTAATTCTTCTTTTATTTTATATTTTACATAAGTAGTTTATATAATAGTATACTTATGCAGCCTTGAAGGTGACGGTCGCGACTACAAGAAAACGTGACTTCAATACATTTCTCCACTACGTCGATAAAGAAGTTTCACTTCAATAAAAAAGTTCTATTACTACTGTCGGGTCTTCAGGCGGCTTTAGTTAAAATTTCTTGTCTAAAATTAATCTAATTAAAAAAAAAACCTTGATGCAAGCTTATTTTACCCAAGCCATGGATGAATATATTTTTATAGCGGAATGTTTATTTCATTACAGCGATATCTAATTTACTGTTAAATTCAAAATCACTGTCAGTATTGGTACCTTTACATCTCTGGTGATCCAGATGCTCTTTGATGTTTCAACCGAATATTTGTAATGCCTTCAAGCAAAGTACTACGCTATTTGAGATACTCTGTCTGTATCCTACAATTTGATTATTTTTTGAATTAAAATTCAAACGCTATATTTTAATTTACACTTGCAGTATTTTCAAAGAAAACAATTTCAGTTCTTCAGATTTATTGCGTTGCCAATATTAAATTCACAGTTTTTTAAGAGCGCTGATGCTTTGTATGGATCGTGTGAATGGCGGTATGTGTGTGTGCATACGAATTATTCCAATTTTAGATTGTGTAATAATTATCAGTTCTCGCGAACTTGAGATGTAACCTTCCCTGATAATTTTGTACATGCAGGAACTACGAACAGGTGTTAGTAATAATAAAATATTTTATTATGAGTTTCTTAATTTGATGCTCCCCTGAAAAGTTCACGTCTCAATCTACCGGGAACTGATGTGACCTCACTGTCAATGTAGTATTCATTTAATTAAGATAAATTATGCGCGGGTAACACCCATCCGCTTGTCAATATTCTCTCATTTTTGGGATTGAGATATACACGGAATTGTGTTGCCAGATCAGAAAAGTTAACAATAGTTTACCGATATCACTATTACAGATTGCTATAAATTTTTATAGGTAAATTATTATTGTATATTTATTTATATTTTCGTACACTTTTCTATACTGGCAACACTTTCGACAATTGTTTTTTTTTGTCGACTCGCTTTATTATAACTTGCAAATTGAAACGGTTATTAATTTTGTTTTATCAGTTATGTAGATAAATTATTTTTAATATATTAATTTTGACCAATAAAATGCATCAATGCTGATCCAACGCGTCACTAGCTAGGGAAAACTGTAAAGATTAATGTAACTATTTAATTAAAATATATAAGTTTTTCAACAGACGTGGTTTTTGTTCTCTTGTTGTATGTTAATAAGTAATGTCCTCCAGACCGAATTTCGGTCACTGTAGCCAGTCTCAACGGAGACTGGCCTGCTGCGCCGGACAGGATTACAGTGGCCGAGTGTATGCGCAAGCACAGCTGCACCTTCTATTCCCTCACTCGCATAGTCCGATGGGCCGGTAGTCCTCCCAAGACCGGAGAGAGGTCAGGCGCAGGAACATCGGTTTTATGGCGACCAAGGCATGGGTGTGAAATACCGCCAACTTTCTGACTGGACTACTGCTGAGAATTTCTTAACAGATAAACCCAATTACTGATTTATGGCTCGACTCAGGAAGCGAACCCGGGAACTCATGATCAGCTATTGCGCTTTCGATCACTAGACCAAGGAGGCAGCCAATGTTGTGCGTCAGTTTGAGATTAGACTGTGTATCTCTGTATTTACATTGCAGTTAGCTTACTTGAGAATGGAGATACAAGAATGCTTCAACGGAGCTCTGGAACAGATTGGAGGTTCTCTTCATAGAACTTAATTCTCAAGAGGCATTTACGCCACCGTAATCTATTTGTCTGTTATTTCTTGGCAAGTATATTTTTTCGACCACTTTGAGTTAAATAGCAGCGTAATACTGGTAACGAGGCATTTCATCTTGGTCGTCTGAACGACGTTTCTGTATTGTGTTTTCGAGGATAGATGTGTCTGTGGGCATGCCTCTGTCACTCTTGCTGCCTGCGTGAAATAATTACTTATAATCGCGAGCATACGAGTATATGCAAATGCATATTATGTAATCTATGATCGCGAGACAGCCCTTGCCGCAGTCGGAACTTGCGCGTTCTAGGCTAGGCGATTGAATGTTAACTTTTGTTAACGCTGTATATAAGTAAATAGTTTTTTTGTAAATACTTGTTGAAATAGTTTTTGTTTAGTGTTTAATATAGTTTAACAACAAGTTTTTAAATTTATTGAGTGAACAATTTGGAACGTCCTTAATCAATGAAAATGTGCCTGAAAAACGGAAGCGTCCTGAATTCAGGAAGCAAACTGTACACACCGCAAAGGGGTCTGTACGCAACCGTTTCAAGAGCGAGTGCTATGAGCGCCGAAGTAATACGAGCGAGCGTCTAGAACGCCGAAATAATAAAGGGCACAACCGACAAGTGGTTATGATAACCCAGGATAAGCCTGTAAGTCGGATAACACATAAGTGTGTTATATGTAACAAGGAGCACTCTATAGTGAGTTGTTACAAGTTTAAGGACATGAATAATCGCGAGAAATGGGAAGCGGTTAAAAAAGCGAAAGTATGTCTTCAATGTTTGTCACCTAACCATATTATGAGGTTAGAGTGCAAAGGGAAAAAATGTGGTGTAAAGGGATGTATGTCACATCATCGAATGCTACATCGATACCCCAATAAAAATACCTCGCCGTAAGGGGACGAGGGGGGTAAAGAGGCTCAAATTACAACGGTTAGTACAGTGAATGCACTGGCATGTGTATATTTAAAAATTATACCGGTCGAGTTGTACGGGCCTAGAGGAAAGGTCAAGACCACAGCTCTTCTGGATGAAGGATCAACCATGACACTCATAGAGGAGT